CTTTAAGCAAATAGCTGGCTCCATGTGATGGGGAGCCGGCTCCATGGTGAGGGGAGCCGACTCCCTTTGTGGCAGAGCCTGCTCGCAATTTTTGAGAGCCTGCTCTCTCGCTACAATATGTACGGGAAGTGTATTTAGGCACTGTTTGGATATTTTGGAATTTCAAAACTGTTTTGGATTGATAAATGGGGATTCTAAATAATTTTCATGTCCTATTAAAACCTCATAATGCATAATTTATATCTATATGCAAATGATTAGAACAACATGAAATTTTAACACAAGTTTACATGTTGTTAATGGATATAGAGGATGTAATTGCTTATTATTGTTTTAGGAATTTAAATGACGGTGACATGATTTTTAAATCTTATATTGGATGCATTAAATGGTTATATACATATCAGATTTTATTATGCTTATTCTGGATAATCGATGTTTTAATTTATTATTTTATCTCATCAATTATTAAACTGTGTGGATGTGATGCACCAGTATGGGATGGGGGCATCTTAGGGATGGATTAACAAATAAAAATTAAGTCCTGCCTACTTGGATATATATATAAGGGAATGGACTAACTATAAAAATTAAGTCGTACTTATATTTGTGTCAGGTCAATGAATAGTTGAATGACATTACTTTGGTTTTGGATTGATTTATATATATATGATTATGGTACCATGATATGAGTTTGAGTCTCAGGATCGACAGTTATGGAGTGTATATGCAGTGTGATGCATAACTGGCTATGATGGTTTGAGGTATACCCTATTAGGTCTAGGTACTCATGCCCACTTCAGGCGCGTTTTGTATGTTGCCTACTAGTCAGGTTGAGATTGTCTTGTAGTCCAGTGAGAGTCCCTCAGTGTGGATATATATATTTATGGAGTATTTAGTTATTGTTGGGATGTCTAGGATGTATCTGCATATCGGGTCTCTGTTTGGATTATAGTAGAGTAGAACTTATTAGTGGACCTGACCCACTATAATTTTTCTCAGGTGTTCGACAGTTCCAGTTGATCGTGCTGAGCAGAGACAGTCACTCACTCCTCCGACTATGTAGGACTATTACTTATGTTTTAGTTTGTTTTTCCTTTTTAGTTCAGTTATTTATTTTCCAGTTGGGATATTATTAGATGTCCACTAGATGAATTCCCTAGTTGTAATAATATTAGATGTTTTGGCAATATTGGATTATATAACTATTAAAGATTATTGTTTAGATTTCTTTCACTTTATTTAATTATTTATTCCTTAATTCTTTTGTACTCATGCTTATTTATATACTTAATTGTTTGGTATCACTCGGATCTGTGCTCGGACTTAATCACCCGTGGCTCTAGAATCGAGGGATATCACACCACTCATGTTTGAAGATGAACATTCTCGTAACTCATTTATAAATGATTAATATGTTGTTATTGTTGTTGTTATAAAAGGGTTCGTGACATCGTCGATGTATGTAATTTCCCCATTCTCATTCTTGTAAATTTTCCCATCAAATCGACATAAGCATACAATTTGTCTCTCATCCATTTCTTCAACTGCTTTGCAAATCGATTCATTAGTTAAAAAAATATCTAAATATAAAGTTAAAAAAAAATAATGAACTATAAAACAAATAAAGATCATAATTAAATAATGTAATTTAGAGACCTTCGCATGCAAATATTTAGCAGCAGAAAATAAAATAAAATTACTTAGAGTACGTGTCTTACTATCATATTGCCACCTACCTTCCACTACTAAAGTCTTCAAAATCACATAACAGTCTAACTTAAATTTACCAATTTTCACTTCTACAGATTACATGTTGAAAATATTCACTCTGAAATCTACTAACTTACACGGGCACTTGGGAGTACTAATATATTCCTAATTCATTAATTCAATACACATTCCTCAGAATTAATACAAATAAGCACGTTAACGATTGGTAAAACACACTTATAGGAAGCATATATAAAGCATCACTTAACCCAATGGAACAAATAAAAGGAAAAAAAAAAAAAAAAAAAAACATGTGGATAATTATATAGCTATAGAAACATTAAGAAGTGAGAGAAATTTCACCATGCTTATTACCCAAAAAAAAAATTCTAAGACATTCATAGTTCAAACACACAATCAATTACCAATTAAGCGTCCAAATTAAACTGACCCATAAATAAGCATAATTAGAGAAAAAAACATATTAATATAAACAAAACTCTTCAATTCCACAAATCTAAATCTTTTAACATTTTCAAAGTGAAAGCATAATTGAATTGTAAGAAAAAGTTTCTTCAGTTGAATCTCAAAACGGTTATTTAAACTTGGGCCTTAATTGGTCTTATTTTGAGCCTTAGCCATTTCATTTGTTGTTTTGCTTCTATTGGTTTCCAAGTGAGCCTCTAAAACTGATCGGGGTTAGTTGGGCCTGTCCATCTTTTTCACTTGTACAATTATTTAACCGGGATTTTTATTTATTTATTTATTTTCTTCTAAATCATTGATTGTTTTAAATTTATCCTGAGTGTAATTTTAACTAACTAAAGTTACTAAATTTCAGTTGGTAAAATTCAACTTAATTTACAGCGTATATTTCAAAATTGAATGTAAATTCTGCAAGGAGAATAAACATCATTAACAATCATCCTATTGAATCTTTCCCCTAACTCTCTAAAAAATAGGGAGAAGGGCATTTTAGGCAACACAAACTTTAAACAGTAAAAATTCATGTGTCATGTTATCTTGTAGGCCAAACACATTTTTTTGAAAATATATGACTTTGGCTCAATCAAAGAGTAAATATGCCCTCCCAAGCCCATTTATATGTAAAATCCCTAATAATTAAAGGATCGAGCAACTACTAAGGAGGACTTTGGTTAATTGGTGGAAAATTTTCTTTGGATAGAAGGAGATGGTGAGAAGATGGTATTTGTAGCTAGTAAGTAAAGACGTCTTTTGTTTCTATTTGATCATGGCTTGAGCAATTGCCAATGCTAATAGCCAAATATGTTATATCTCCGTGCTTTCTTTGATTGTCATCAGTCATAGAAAGCCACATTACATTACAAGAAAGGGAATCACCTTTGAAATGCACTCTTTGTTCTGTTTTTTTTTTTTTTTTTGGCATCATTCGACAGTTTGATGCAAAAGTCGGACATGGCAATGCACATCACATCACAACAGAGAGACATCTTTGTTTTATATGTTATGGGTTACCCTAAACTAAACTAACTTATCATGCATGACCAATATATTCTTAATTAACATCATTGATGAAAGGAATTAGTTGTTCCGCACTAAATGCCTCCCTCTGATCTTTGTACCAAAAAACACACACAAATACACAGTTGATGTAATCAGCACTAGCGTGAATGGTTTCTTTTGTCCAGATGATTGAGCTGATAGATGAATGTGTCAGAACCAAATTAAACAGATTGAAATCTGTAGAAGCGTTTTTAAGTATTAATATTTTAAAAATAATTAAAAATTCTTAATTCAGGAACTATAGTTCGAACTATATTGAACTATCTATAATGTCTAAAATGTTGATTCAATGGAACTATAGTTTGAAGTAATTTTGAATTATCTTTATGATATAAATTTGATACCAATTGACACATGTAATTTACCTTAAATTGTAAACTCTGAGGGTCAAAGTTCAAGCACGCAATCAATTGAGCAAACTATTGAAACGAAAAGGTGCTCAAAACGGGAGGGGAGATCCACCCAAAACGGGTGTGTGTGTGTGTGAGAGAGAAAGAGAGTGCTTACCAGTTCAGAGAAGCATAGCGACCCAAACGAAGGGGGAGATCCACCCAAAGGAAGTGGAGAAGTGGGGATGCTGCTTTGTTAGGTTACAGAGATGGGGAGAGAGAGGGCGCACAAATGAGGGTTAGGGCTATGCTTAAATTGTTGTTAGAGAGAGGAGGAGAGAGAGAGGGCTTTGCTCGAATGGGATTATAAATGAGGGTTAGGTTTGATCACTGTTACAGAGAAAGGGAGAGAGAGAGAGAGAGAGAGAGCTCTGCACGAAAGTGAGGGTTAGTGCTGATCGCTGTTACTAAAAGGGGGAGAGAGAGGGCTACACGAATGGGATTATGAGTGAGGGTTAGGACTGCAATAAGGTAAATGTATTAAAATATGGAGAAGGGCATTTTAGGGAACACATAAAATATAGAGAAAAACATTTTAGGCAACACAAACTTTAAACAGTAAAAATTCATATACCATATCATCTTTTAGGTCAAATACATTTTTTTGAAAATATAGGACTTTGACTCAATCAATGAGTAAATATGAATCCCAAGCCCATTTATATGTAAAAATCCCAAAAAAAAAAAATAAATAAATAAATTCCCCCATGCCAATCCCCCAAACTCCCATAGCTTTGGTAGACTTAGCCCCACACAAAACTCATCCAACTACTGGAACATCAAATTTGGACCACAAAATCACAACAATTTCACGAATTTAGCTTATGAAGTGTACCAACTAGTCAAATATATTTTCTAATTACTTTGGGTGGATTTAATGAATAGTCAGAAGTTTGTTAGGCACAAACATTTTTAAGAATTATTATCAATGAACAATAGCTTAAATGAATTAATCTCTTTCTTTTTTTTTTTTTTTTTCGGGTAATTAATGTAATTATCCAGATCGAATAAAGCTTGGACTTTCTCTAAAATTATTTGCAATCAAGGGAACTGATCTCTCCTTCTCAACCAAAGATTGAATGCTTGATTTCAGTTAGGAATAATATTGTGAATCTAAATTAATTTTTTTTTCCTATTTTCCTAGGAACGATACCTTGTTAATTCTCTTTTTCTTTTTTATATAGTTTTTTGTTTTGGTCACCAATATATGACTTTTGCTACCTTCCGTGTGTATATATATATATATATATATATATATATATGACTTTTGATATATATATATATATATGACTTTTGCTTTAAAATAAAATAAAATAAAATAAAATGCATCTTAATTGACTGATACAATAGAATCCGAAACGGCGTCGTAGGGTTGACCACTCCCCTTAGATACCCTGCTTTAATAATAAAGTGCAAGACATACCAAATCAACGCTTTTCTTCCTCTCCTTCTTGTAGCTGTGTGTTCATCATCGATAAAGGGATTCAAGAATCAAAACTTAGGTATGTTATCTACCAATCTGTTTCTTCATTCATATCCTATCTTTTATTTTCTCACACGCACATATATATATGTATATATCTGTATGTATATGTTAAATTACTCCCGATTGTTGATTGACTTTTTATCAAAGTTCCAATTGAAGTTGAAGTTGACGTTTCTCAAATAATTTTCTGGGTTTTGAAGGACAACAACCAATTTGAGGTATTCTTTTATACTCTGATCGGCATAGTTGGCAAAGGACTGTTGCAGGCGAGAACGATCACATTTTTAGCACACGGCCTCTTCCTTTTCCTTTTCCTTTTCCTTTTCTTCCTCATTCATCTGCAAAGATGAGCGATCAAATAGCGAAAGGGGAAGATTTCGAGAGGAAAGCGGAGAAGAAGCTCAATAGCTGGGGCATCTTCGGTTCCAAACACGAAGACGCCGCTGAATTGTTCGAGAAAGCTGGCAATTGCTTCAAACTCGCCAAATCATGTAATTACTCTCACCTTCTCATCCATCCATTATCGTTTCTCAGCATTGCATTGTTTCTGGCCGATCAATGAAAATGGGAATTCTCTTTTTTATTATTATTATTATTTGTGGATTTTGATTTGATTTTAGACATGGTCGATGTGTTTTCTGATGGAAAATAAAAAATCTGGATCTGAATATGATGGCTTGATTCGGTGATTTGGTCATCAGACGTGTTGCTTTTGGATTGGAAATGATAAAACCGGTGAAGCTTTATTATTTGTGTATAAATTTGTGTGTGTCGCGTATGTTTTTATATAATTTTACGATTTTTTTGAGGCTTGACTTGAATTTGTTCTTGACAGATTGAGAAGTAAAATTTATTTCATATTTTGGATATTCATTTTAAGGAAGAATTATTGTTCCTTTAATGATTGAAAATAAAATTCAGATGTCTATTCGGTAATTATTTTATTGACCTTGTGTTTGGGGCACCAAATTGGTGCCTTTGGATTTGGAATTGGAAGAAATTAGTTCAAAAATTTAACTGAATTTTCTCCAATTCCAAATCCAATGCACCCATTCGGTGCTCCCAAACATAGTATGAATGGTTTCATTTGGATATTCAACTTTTATTGCATGAGGGAGTGAAATAAGTTGTGGTCATTCAGGGAAAGAAAAAACAGGAGGAGTTATGATCATTGTTTATATCATATGTTCTCTCAGGGGACCAAGCAGGAGCGGTTTATATCAAGTTAGCCAACTGCCATCTAAAGGCAAGTGCTTAATCTATTTATTTTATCAATTTTTCATATGATATTTTACTATAATCCAGTATGATACTGTTGGCTTTTGATTATAGTTGGATAGCAAACATGAAGCTGCTAATGCATATGCCGATGCTGCTCATTGCTATAAGAAGACAAATATTAAAGGTATTTATGGTGTTCAGTTCCATGTATGATATTACTTCAATCATGAGATTAGAATATATGGAACCTTTCCATCCAGAATTAGGTAAGACCAATTTCACTTAGTTCACATTTAGAATAAACAAAATCATAAGACAAAACACTAGGTGTTTGAAGATACAGAAGGAGCTTTTCTTCTTTTTTCATTTTTGTTTCACTGTAAATCACCTGTAATGTGCTCTTGGTGATTTTTTTTTTTCCATGTGAGATATCTATTAGTGTCTGTGTAGAACAACTCAATCAAGCGTCCGTAACTTGATTAGATCTAACCAGAGTGAGTGCCTAATGGCACCTCATAAGTTCAGTTTTCTTTAGTGAATTCACTTTGTATAGTACATCCTTTTTTCTTTTAATGAAATACCCCTCTTTTAAAAAAAAGAAAGAAAACGAGAAAATACACATTGTTTTTTCAGAATTGCCATGGAGACATGTATGTGTCATGTCTTACCTGTGTCCGGTGTCTGTATTCTTACATGCTGTTATTACTCGGAACATATGATTCGTATGCTAAGTGGAATGCAAGGATGTATGACAATGTTAAAAGTTATTACAGATCCTCTACAGTGTGGTTTAGGTTGAGGAAAAGTTTCAGATTTAAAAATTCTAGGATGGGAAGGGATTGAGTCGGATAGGTATAACAAATACCACATAAATTAATTTTTCACATGCTCATAACCATGTTTTTTAATTGTATTCTTTTGAACTTCCAGTGATACTATCACATGAATTGTTAGCCTCTTCTTTCATCATTATTATTTTTTTTAAGCTCGCTTTGCAGAGTCCATAAATTGCCTAGAGCAAGCTGTAAATCAGTTTCTCGAAATTGGAAGGCTTAATATGTCTGCAAGATATTACAAGGTACTATCCATACTTGTTTGTTAGTAAATATTGTTTTACTTGATACAATAATAGAAAACCTTATTACCTACTCATATTTTGTTATATTTGGGATCTCTAATCTATCAAATTCTTGGTTGGGTTCTCTAGATTTTGGGATCCTGTATTTCAACAAAATTTCCTTTAATGTCACCCTTGTTTGCCATAATTTTAATCTGCATAATCATCGACATTTGACTCCTGCAAATTATGATTATGTAGAATACACTTGTATGATCGTTGCTCAAGATGATACAATAAAAGTTGTGAAAAATGATGACGTGGAATACTTTCTTCATGTGCAGGAAATTGCTGAATTATATGAGGCTGAACAAAACTTTGAGCAGGCTATTGTTTATTTTGAGAAGGCAGCTGATCTTTTCCAAAGTGAGGATGTAACAACTTCTGCAAATCAGTGTAAGCAGAAAATTGCTCAGTTCGCTGCTCAACTGGAACAGTAAGTGTCACTAATTTTAGATATATGTCTCGTGGAGTTATATGACATCTTAAAACTATATGTTGTCGCTTTCATTTTATGATGCATGTATCATTTCTGTTTTAACGTATCTTTATCTGGATAACCCTGTTACCTGAACTCATTTCTTTGTCCCCACGGTACCTATGTTGACATGATTCATCCCGAGGCCAAGCTACATAGTGATGTTTCTTGCCGAGCCTTTGATATTTATTTGTTAGTCTGGTAGTTGTAATCTGGTAACTGGCCTTGCCCCGACTTGGCATAATCCCCCGTCTTCCGGTTCTACCTTTAAAAAACAGACTAGAGGGATAGAGAGGGGGAGGGGGGGACAGGGAGGGAACAAGGGGAGGCTGGGATACGGGTATAGGACTGGGGTGTGAACATGGTCCAGGAAGGAAGAAGCCACTTTATCCAATAAGTTGGTAAGCTCATCAATTGCACATAGAGAACCAACTCTACGCTTAAATTAAAGGAATTGGATGGAAAGGTAAAAGATTGATAGCTTATATCATGTTTGGTTTAAAAACGAGGAGGAAAGTGATGAAAAAGGAAGAATAGCTTAACCTCTTAAAGAATGTTTTCTGTGTCCTTCCAAAAATGGAAGGAAATGATGGAAGGGTAGAGAGTTATTTGATTATCTGTTTTGCCCCTGTTTTTGTCTCACAAGCTAATTCCTGCTTTGTTTGTAGTACTCACGGAATGAAACAATCATTTTTTTTATTTTCCATTTATTTTCAATACTTATGGTCAATTATACAAAATGATGGAGAGATTGATGATGATATAAGTAATAAAATCAGAATAGTTGGACGAAGTGGAGGAACACTAGTGGGGTTTTATGCGATAAACAAATACCAAATAAGTTAAAAGGGAAAGTATATAGAACAGTCATTAGACTGGCTATTTTATATAGAGCGGAATGTTGGGCGTTAAAAAAGAAATACGAACAACACATCCATCTGGCGGAAATGCGAATGTTAAGATGGATGTTATGAATAACTGGGAAAAGTAAGATTAATGATCAAGGGATTAGGGAGAAACTAGATGTGGTATCATTTAGCGAGAAAATAAGAAAGAGTTGACTTATGTGATAAGGACATATTCAATACTGATCAATAGATGCACCAGTGAGGAAAGGAAGATTGATTTGCATAGACGGTAAGTTGCAAAGAGGTTGACCGAACTATCATGGAATGAATTGATAAGAAATGCCTTTAAAAAATTAAATCTAGTAGGAGAAATGGCTCATGATTGGAAATATTGTAAAAAGAGAATTCATGCGGCGATCCTGTTTGTATGGGATAAATGCAAGGATGATGATGATGATTTTTTTTCCTTTTACATCCACTATATTCTCCAAGCGCAATGAAAGATTACTAATTTTTCTGTTCTTTTCCCTCATTTATACAAACACAAGGAGATCTCAACATTATTCTCTCACCTCCTTTCTTTTCTTTCATAATTAATATTATCCTCTCTTTTCTTTTTTTTCTAAGTATTCTCCTAGTTATCCAAACATACTGCAGGTCAATTAAGCGCTGGACATCATGAATTAGGTGGCATGTTGTTTGCCAATATACTGGAGTGATGTCATAGAAACCTAAGCAGCTGTAACGCTCCTTTAGGCACTTTTATAGCCTGGTCAGCACCACTTTTGTTTATTGTTTTGGCTACCACTGCCCATATCATATCAAATTTCTTTGCTTTTTGCTCAAAATTCGAACTTCTTTTTGGTAAGCAACTAGAGGGATTTCTCTTCACTAAAAGCCTTTTGTTTGGGATTTTCTTCTGGTTGTTGTGGCTTATTTTCCTTGATTTTCTTTAGTTCTTCACCTCTCTTAGGGTAGAGGGTGATATCCTCCTTGTTGCACATAATATGGTAAGTTCTCTCCTTCCCACAATGATACATATCATGATCAAAGAGTCAAGGTCAACCAATAGTACATGTAACTTTAATGGGAACAACATTATACCAAGTAGAATTTTTATGTTGGCCAGAAGCATCTGAAACTACGCAACCATGATGGATCGGTATGGTTGAGTTGTTGATCGTTAAATATGATGTGGTTGTAGGTGTCTTTCAGTTGGAAGCTTCAAATTTTCAACCGTAGCGGCTAAAACCATGTTCATGCAACCCTCACTATCAATGACTAGCTTGATTTTAGTGTCTGGAAAGTGGTAATTCTCCTCCAATCTTCCTTTTAAAGCTTAATGGCAGCGAGAATACATTGCACCACCATCGGAAGGGATCTGTTTTTGTCAGATATGCCAAATCATCATCAGTTGACTCGGAGTTTCTTCATTTTTTGTTTTCACTCTTGGGCCCCTTTGTTAAGTCAACTTCTCTTCTTGCTTGTTTTCGAGATGTGTGTTGAATTCAGTGGGAATTGGTAAGTCATATGTTCTTGGCATCCACAGCTATAACATTTCTGTTAGCGCAGTTCATATCTTTGTTTGGTGTGTTCCCAATAGGAATTCATTCTCAGGAAATCACCTAAAATAACTGCGGCAGAGATTAAAATAGCTGAAGTTCTTTCTGTCAAACCTTTTCAGAACTTCATCCATGATACTATTTCCTTTGAAATCATTGGGCCTTCAACTTGGTTGCAAAGATGTTGTCCTGTTATCTCTGTTACTTTCACCAAATCCTTTTGTTATTTTCTCACTGACATAAGTAGTTATTTTCATATGGTTGGCACTTGCAAGTATTCCATGTCGAGGGTCACTGAAACACACGTTCCACACCATCAAGGGGCTTTTAATGCTAGACTCTCGTTATATCAAGCCCTGGCTAGATTTGAATGTAATCAAAGTATGATGAGGATCTTTAATACTTTGGATCTGAATCTTGAGATCATCAAACTTTTGCATATATTCTTGCTTGACTGTGATGATACCTTGTATGAGATTGACAAGTTGACAAAACTTGTTGATTGGTTGGTTGGCACATGCTTTTAGCAGGACTTTTCCTTCTTTTCTTGCTAAGTAGATGTTGTCATATTGGCGGTTATCTCAATCTACCCCAAACTTTGGTGAGACCCATCAACTTGATATTTTTGAACTGCACTCTTCTGTCATCTGACATATCATACCAAGCAAAATACTTCTCAATTGTAGGCAACAGATCGGCAGATTGTAGGATTGAGTCTTCCGTCAAAGCTTTGCATGTCAATCTCCACCTTCATTATGAATTTTCGTTACGTCATGAGGCTCGTGCAGTCTCTCTCAATCACGTATCAATTCTAGTCTAAGGTCGTTGTGGTGTCCTATCAACCATGACTTCTGTTTTTAAACCAGATTAGGCTGCTGTTTCATTTGCAGCCCTTTGTTCCTTTTGTGATCCATCTTGTTTAGCATCTTTCTCCTCATCAGTGTTGCACGTTGAAGATTTCCTTTTGGTATTGGCTACTGAGTTACTCGTAAATCCTTGATTCAAGTCCTCCCAAATAAATGTTTAGGTCATGGCTCCACTGATTAAATAGGTAGCTTGTCTCATTGATATCAGTTAAATCCCTTGTAAAAATTTAAACCAAGTCTGATCTAGCATCTTAATTTACAGCACCAAAAATGAATGAACTGCTTTGTGGAAGGAACTTGGATGTTTAAGAAGAAAGATAGGAGAGAGAGGCTTAGGCATTTTACACCTAGGTTCTTAGCAGTAACACCTAAGGAGAGATGCATCACATATGACAACATTTTGGGTCTTAAAAGTTTTCTCTGTCTGTCTCAAAAGAAAGCTAATACCTTACCATATATAGGTGACAATGGCTTGAAGCAAGGGAACTTAATGACCAGGGTGGTAGATAATCTTGGTGAGCAATTAAGAGCTGCTGAAATTTGAACCTTCTTTAGGACCCAGAAAACCCACCAAATCTGACATACATTAAGCCTCTTAATGTTTTACGAATCTTGCCAGAAGTATTATTTACATCAATAGAGTAATGCAAATTAAATGTAATATCTGAATTGACATCATTATGGCTTGTTGTTGATGTAAAACTTTGATGACGAATTGAAAAGTTTGTTGATAGGGATATAATATGCTTGCATTTATTATTCAGATACCAGAAATCAATCGATATTTATGAAGAGATAGCACGACAATCGCTGAGCAATCACTTGCTGAAGTATGGAGTTAAAGGACATCTTCTTAATGCTGGCATTTGCCAACTCTGCAAAGGCGATGAAGTTGCAATTAGCAATGCATTAGACCGATTTCAGGTTAAAGTTTGGCACATATCAAGCATCTTCTATTTTTATCCTATGGCTTAGGTATATTGTATGAATATGTCATTTGCATTTGCAGGAACTGGATCCAACGTTTTCAGGGACGCGCGAGTACAAACTGCTGGCGGTATGTCATAACTTGTAAAAACTATTGTTGGTTCTGCATCTATTTCTTTGGCATTTTCCTTTTGAAATGGTGAATTATCCTATCTAGTTGGTGGAAAGTGGGTTGATAGAAGTATATTGAACTGTTTATTTCATTGGTTTCTTTCATTACAGGTGCATACTTTTATGTACTTTTATCAACAACTTAACATCTTATCTGCTTCCTCTCTTTGGTGGTTTTTCGATAATGCTATTATTGTCTCTTCATTTCATTGGGATAACAGAAATTTAGCTTAATATGGAGATTCTATTCTTGTGGCAGGATTTGGCTGCTGCAATTGATGACGAGGATGTTGCAAAGTTTACTGATGCTGTGAAGGAATATGATAGCATGACCCAGCTGGTAAATTTTATTTCCAATTCACATAGAAACACTTTCAATCTTTTGATTCTGGTTGTGAGACTAGGTCTTCCTCAAGTTAGTTTAGCTATATCCTTTAGCCCTTCAACCGTTTTGTACCATCTTTCAAGAGTCCTCATTTTCTCTGAGATTCTTGCAATCATATATGTTTTTTTGCAAGCATAGCTTCTAATCCTGGGGTCAGTCAAAGTATTAGTTCAGGCAGAATATAGCTCATATTTGGATGTGGAAAAGGGGGGGAAGAGAGGGATTGTTTGTCATCTGTATGTAATTCAGAAAATGGGTAAAGCTGAAAGTATTGTGAAGGATGAGTAGCAATTGAAAGTAAAGATTTGAAAATGATAAAATGCATTTGTGAGAAACTAATGGTGTCAGTTATTAAAGGAAGAAAAGTTAATGGTTTGCCACGTGCAAACATTACGGAGTAAATGATGATAAGAAAGGACCTAAGTGTAGTCTGAGAAGAGAATATCTGTATGGAGCATGGACTTGATAGAAGATACGATTCTAACAGAGCTGCATGGGGTAAAAGGATTCATGCCAATTGTAGTTTGTTTGAACAAGAGTTTATTGAGGATTTATAGTTTATCTCTGCATGATCTGTCCATATTTATACATTTCCACTGAAGTCACTTCTGTTCCCCAATCTAATTGACATGCAAACTAGTATTGGATTGAACTTATACCACGTGTTTTACTTAGATGTTTTGCTATTTTTCTGTTTCAACTAGGAAAAATTACCGTCCTTGACTTTTTTTCCCTCCATATGTTGCTTCACAGGATGCTTGGAAGACAAGCCTTTTGTTGAGAGTGAAGGAATCACTGAAGGCTAAAGAACTAGAAGAGGATGATCTTACTTGATTCTTTTCTTCTTCGAGTGTTTTGCCATTTGGATTTCAAATTGTTGATTTCATTGTACTGGGTGATTGTGTCTCTTCAAGCTTATTTACACTGTTTTTGTGTGTGTTGCTAATCAAAGTGCATTTGCTTGCTTTTATAAGCATGAGTTTGTAATACAATTATGGCTTTGTTTTGCTACCTGTGGTTCACATAGGAATTTGTATGTTGAAATGAATCATAGTCAATGTAGGAAATAATTGAACAGATTGAATCTAAGGACCATTATCTTGTAAGTAGTAGGTATTACCGTATTAGTAAGAACAAAAGAGCTCCTCCTGCTGAGTTCACTATAGGGTCTTGTGATTGGTTAGAATCTCCCCTAAACCTTAACTCTTTCTCTTTTAATTGCAATTGATATTGCATTCCATTTGGTCGTATACAGAATGAAAATTGGCCTTTGAAGAGAAATTTGGTTAGTCAGACAAACTACTCACGAAATTTTTAGCCTTTGATTGGATCAAATGCTCTTAACTAATGCTGTCCTGACTAGTGACAGATAAAGTAAGAAATGTAATGGACATGAATACAGTTTATGGAGGTTTTGCTGCAGCTGTGATTGACGATCCTTTGTGGGTCATGAATGTGGTGTCTTCCTATGCTGCTAACACACTCCTGTTGTATATGCCCAGGGCCTCATTGGAACCTACCATGACTGGTAATTCCGAATGCATTTATAGACTTAATTAAGCTATAAACCTATAAACCTCATTGTTTGAATGGCACTTGGTGCACATTGTTAATTTATATGTTTTTCTGTTTAGATGTGTGAAGCTTTCGCAACATATCCAGGAACATATGATCTCCTTCACCTTGATGGCCTCTTTAGCACTGAGAGCCATAGGTAAGGGTTTTTCGTCTCCTTGCATTCTTCGGTTGATCTGTGCATAAATATGCTGTCATTTACTTTATGTTGTATTTTCGTGTTAGGATCTTTACCTTTTCCCAACAACAGTAAAAATTAACATACCGAAAGTGTTAATAAGAACTCTTTCGCCTGGAACTATTGGAGTGCCAAACTGGGTATGTTAAGTCTTAGAATACAAAAATGGACACGAGTTAGCTATTTGGTTTATCACTTAGTAATTACTGAAGCCAAGAAATAAAGCATTAGTACTTGATGATTAAATTTGTACTTTATCTGTAAGAAAGTTTACTAATTTTGAAACTAACCACACTTCTCCATGCCATATTGCTTTCCTGTCTCCTATACTGATGGACCAAGATGACCTAGGAAATGGTGCAGCTCATCGGTCACCTCAGCTAGTTCTTGCTGAAGAGCAATGGCATACAATGTCGTAGCCTGCATGACATGTCGATATATATAGTTTTCTATATTAATTTGTACAACAAGACCTTAAAAAAGAAAAATTAATGAAATAGTTACCCCAATATAAAGTCAGATAGGGCAAACACAAGTACACAACTACTACAATAGAATAGAGTCAAGTAAAGCGGATACAGTCATTCTCATTGTGACCGGCAAATACAGTGAAAAGGTTAACATGATAGTTTTTGTTCTCACGTGTCCAAGTTCTCCCCTTGAGAACAACTCCTCTCCATCCCAGACAGTGAAAGCCAACTCTCCAAGTCCCAGCAGACTTTCAAAGAGTTATTTCAGTCCAGACAGGCAGTTTCCATTTTTTTTTATCTGACTTCAGATTTGAAGAAATGTTCTATCTAAAGCAAATATGCAGTTTGCACTTCCTATTATGGTGGAAGATTTGGCATCTTAATTTACTTTTCTTTCTGTTTGGATTTATTTTGCAAAACTTGCTTCTAGGTCTTGGATTTTTTAATTTTTTTAAAAGGTTTTTTGGGTAGGTAAGATGCACACACTTACTACTATGCTGTGAATCATTTACCTTGCATACTTCCTGAAGATCCATTTTTTACCCATCTCTCAAAATAATTAGCTCACCTTCGGTAGATTGCAGTCCACATTGATATTTTGTTAAATTTTCACATAACAACCAGATCTTCATAACAGTGGAAAGTTGACCGCAACTTTCATAAATATAGGCTTGGGGGTGAGTAGGTCTCGTATGCTTCTTTGTATTGGATTTCTTTCTTTAAATTATACAATTGACCGTAAATCTAGTCAATCAAATAAAGCAAATAACAAGTAGAGAGAACCAAATCTTATGCGAAAAGCTCAGATGGGGAAAAACCATAGAACCTTGTTAGGAGCAAATCAAATCCCCCATGTGAAGGAAAGGTGACATGCTTGAACCTTAACACAGACTCACATCTAGCAAATCGACTAAATGCTATAGCTGCCAAAGTTTTTAGACACACGCTTGGTTAATTACCACTCTTCTCCTACGAGCCTAGTTGTGGTCGATGCCTTGACTTACACCCACTCTCCTGAAGCAACACAATCAAACCATTTGATCCATTTTCTTCACCAATGATCAAGTCAAGGTCTTCACGAAAACAGTTGTGAAGTAGCTATGAGCCACTACTTCATGATGGTATAATAATTATTTTTCTTTTTCCTTTTTTTTTTTTTTCCCCCTCCGCGAAAAGCTTCATTATTGTAAAAATGAATAAATAAATACACTTTTCTCTATCATCTTGTGCTTTTATAGGAATATGTTGTTAGGTAGGAAGGTCTTGTGTTCAAATACCTACACCTCCTGGTAATACATTCACTTCAACATAGGTTATTGAGATGTTCCTTTTGTTTTTTTTTTTTTTAAACATTCTGCAGAGATCTTCTCCTCTCAATATTTAATTAGATTTTCAATTTCTTTGAGTCTTTCTTCATATGATACTGGATTCGCATCATCAGGAAAAAACATTATAAATATATTCATCTTATAAGTAAAGATGACCGTGTGCTTATAATGCATATAGTTTATATTTATGTACTTTAATTTATATTGCTTTTCTTTAAGTAAATAGCAGATATCCAGTGTGTGGGCTCATAAAAGTTATATGCTGTTGCGATTTTTTTCGTTCAGAAAATTTCATGTTCCATTATGGAGCCAAGATTGAATGGAATCTAGGGGAAATGAAAGGAGAAATTTATTAGCTGCCGACGGAAGCAAATTTTTTATTTTATGATCCAAACAGTTCCAAATGATTCTTCTAATGCTTTATTTTTTATTTAGTATTTGTCCATCATTATCATCCTGCCTTTATCCCATATGAAAAAACTCGTTCACATGACTGGAAAAAGCTTGTACTATGCATCCACATTAAAGCACCTACAATTCACTATATGACCAAATAATTAATTAGTCTATAGTGCCTTTGTTTTTTTTTTTTCTTAAATACTAGTAGTATGAGGTTGAAAATGTTCTTACCAATTATAATGGAAAATCTATCACTTATCAAAAAATAAATAAGTAACTAAAAGGGAAAAATCACATTTAAACAAGTATAGTAGACATGTTAAAGTGGAAAAACTCATATCAGGCTTCAGCATCTGATAAAGCTGCCTCAGGTGTCTGTTATAACTTTATTTTGCTTGTTTTTATCCTCCATTTCTATGCCTGCAAAAAACTTAGTCTTTTTTGTATTTTTTCTTTGTTTATTAATTTTTAGTTTTAAAGACATTTGTTTCATGGGATAGCTTATGGTGTTTCTTGGAAAGAATCACAACGTTGTAGGTGTGAAAACTATATTTAAAAGGGATAATGTAAGTGTGGTGCTGCTCTTCCATTCCCCACCTCCCCAAGTGTTGCAGATATGAAGTAGCCGTTGCTTTGTTGATTCTTGTCACGGTTTTGATGGGCTATTTAGGATGAATGATATTAGACTAGTTGAGTGATTATCTGAGTCGTTCCACCTATGACATGCATTCTCAAGCTGCTTCTTTTTTTATGTCTTCACGGCATGTCAATGATTAGCCTCTAATATTGTTTCACACACAAATATATTCATGTTGCCGATGCCTAATGATATATATAGGTTACATTCAACACCTGTTTGATTCTTGTTGTGCCTTATGACTTCTTGTTCCATCTAGTTTCCCTCCACACACAACCAACAAAAACTACATTTCAGTAAAAAGAACAATGAAAGTGGTTAAGAAGCCACTAATCTGATGAGTTAAAACCTTGTGACCTGATGACAAGGACCATATTTATTAGTAATAATTCACATTTTAGGTTTTGCTGTCTGTTAGTAGTTAGTATGCTGGATGTGTATGTCACCATCTATAGTATGCTCCACGCCTGTTAATAGTTTGTCTTTGTTTCTCCCTTTCTCTCTCTCTCTCTCCTCTTTTTTTTTTTTGTTTTTTAAATCGTGCATTTCGGAGTAGTTCACAACCAATAAAAGATACCAGTTTTTGAATCATATATGTTATATAGATATGCTAATTTCTCTCTCTCCTTTATTTATTTATTTATTTTTTTGAATCCTGCATTTTGGAGTAGTTCACAACCAGTGAGTAATGATACCAGTTCTTGAATGATATATGTTATATAGATACTAATTTGTCTCTGAAGTTTTTTTACTTGTGATAACATGGGAGGGGTTCAATGCTTATAATTCTATGACCGTAATGGAACTCTTCGACCTTTTACAGATAGAGGGATCATTATATATCCTTATTGTCTTTATTATTAGTGTTTAGACATGGTTTAATTTATTTCTATGATTGAAACTTTTTGATCTTTAGTGGAACATAACATTGGCAATTTCTAATCAACACACACAGATGACACACACTTGTTCATTTGGCACAATATTCTCACGTAACGAACACACCCTTCAGTTCGGATAAGAAATGTAATAGGTATAAATTATTTGGGTGTTAATAGGTATAAATTGTTGAAGAGTAGTTTGATTATACTTTGTTTTGTTTAAGATGACTTTCATCACTAATCTAACTCTGTTTATAAGTAAGTATTTGATTGGACTGGTATAAGCCATTTAATCCATTTGTTTTATTTTTTTAATTTTTTTGGGATAATTCCATGTAAAAAATTGAATGGTTATAATACACCATCAGAATATAGAGAGAGAGAGAGGATTATGAAATCCCTGAACTGTAACCCAGGAGTAAAATGATACGGAAGTCACTCCACCCAAAAGTCACCTTCATTTTCTTTCTCCAGAAAACTGTCCGTAACACAGGAATTTTTGAGAGAGAATTTGGAGAGAAAGATACTAAATTTAGAGAGATTTTTTTGGACAGGTTTTAGAGCACATCCAAACGAAGTCATTGAGAGTTTTAAATGTATACAAAATTGATAGGGGCATTTTTATCACTCAAAAATGGTACTTTTGGATTTTATAAAATAATTTTTTACTTAATTTATTCAATAGGGGTAATTTGCTCAAAAGATTAATAATATAGGGATTTATATGCATTTTTTTATTCTAACCGAGGTATTTTTTGCACATTTTCGGTACAGCTAGGAGTTGTTTTTGCACTTAACCCTAAAATATAAAGTAATTTAATATAAACAAATATAAATATAACGATTATTAAATTCTATTAACTCTAAGTAGCAAAACATGCATAGATAGACTCAAATCTTTTTTGTATGTGATGAAATATGGAATGTCAACTTATAGAAACCTATTTAAGAAATGAAGAGGTAGTATAGCATTGATAGTCAACAATAAAAATGTTTCAAAATTGACTTGTTCAGTTTCATGAAGTATCAGGTCTTGGATCGATTCTTGTTAAGTGTAAATAATTTTTTTAAGGGGGTGTGTGATTATAGATTAAAAAAAAAAAAAAAAAAAAATTGTTATCAAACTAAGCATGCAAAAAAGGTTTTTTTTTTTTTTTTTTTTTTTTTTGTGCGAATGCATAACTTCAAGCAAGTAAATTAAAAACTGCTACGGCATGAATTCAATTCCGAAAGGGGTAAATAAGGTAAGTATGGACAAAAGTATGGACATAATTGGTTAGATTCAATAAATTCGTTTGCTGAATTTTATTTTTCAATTACCTAATCCACACATCATCAACAGCTCCGAACCTTTAGGTCCTATCATAATTATAAAGGTTCCAATTTTGTCATGGGAGCTTAATGTTGGGTAGAGTTTTACCAACGCTCCAACCCCACCTGGCTTCAAGTTAATACGCTTGAAGACTGCCGATTAATATAAACATCTTCTTTCTTAATAGACGGCTTAAAATGCATTACAACAAATGACTAAAATCTAGTTTGTAAAACTCTCCACATAAATATCTACATATTCCTAAACTCAATAAAACTCTCCGAAATCTTCTCAAATCTACAAATTCTTACCAATACTCTAATATTTTGGAATTCTTCATTCCTCTGTGTATACCACTCCACAATTCTTCTAATGTGGAAGACTCTTTAGAATCCCAGTGTCATGAGAGTCTCCTCAGCACTTGTGTAACGCTTTTGTAGCACAACGTTTTGGTTGGACATGACATTCTATCGAATCCATTTTTTGAAATTTTTCTTTCACACGTATAATATAATATATATCTGGTTCTTAGACAAACAAAGGAATAACTCTATCCTTAGATGGAATTAAATTATTGTTTTTATTATTGTTTTTAGACAAACAAAAAACAAAGGAATCACTAAATTATTGTTTTTATTCAACATTATATATTTTTTTTTTTTATACCAAAAGCAAGTAAGCAATAATTTCATTGATCCAACAATCAACCAACATTACAATCTTTGATTTCTTGATCGCCAAATACGAAACACCAAAAGGAAAATTAGGAAAAATTATTAATGTTCCCGGATCATTAACATTTGGATCAGTTAAATATAAATTCTCAAATTAAAAAATGGCTCTACAAGAGTGTGTATTAATATATTACAAAGTTTCATGGTTGGAGAGTATTACCAATGTACCAAAATTCTTGTGGCCCACTACTATGTCCTCTACCTCACATAGTAGATGGTGAGGGTTCAAATCTCCAAAAGAGCGGAGTGGGTGTGTGAGTGATGCGTGAATTTCTTGTCAATGACAAATAATAATAATAAGAATTAAAAAAAAATTCACCAAATATCAAATAAGCCAAGATCATATAATAATTTCTCAAAAATTAGAGTTCCAAATGGCCCACTCTTTCCTTTGACACAGCATGTTGGCATGTTGACTCAACATATGGGCAACCTGTTGCCCTCACTATACACCCAGTTTAACATATCCTGGGAGTCGGGAAATGATTCAAAAAAAAAAAAAAAAGGGGGTATCAAAATTAATCTTTATCAAAAAAAAAAAAAAAAAAAAAAAAAAAAAAAAAAAGGCATCAAAATTAATCTTTACTTGGCCGACCATTGGAGGACGCTACTTCGTTTTTTCCTGCATGAACGGGTTACAGTCAGGGATAGCAACGGATGGGTTGGGGCACCCGTTTAGTATAGCTTACCCCATCTTCATTCCAAAACTGTTTATTAAATGGGACGGGGCCCAGTGGGGTGAGACAGGGCATGGGCGGGCTTTGTAGAATACTTCGTAATGATAGCAATTCTTTTTTCTCATGCGAATAAAAACAGAAGTTAACTTCTTAATTGAAATTTTGAACTTAATATTATTGTAAGAACAACAAAATAATACATAAAATTTCTAGAATAAGAATAATACAAAAGAATATTTAGTGATTGACATACAATCAATTAGAATTTTTTTAATATATACCTCCTATTATTGAATATAAAATAAAATTTAAATACAAAATTATAATTTATTATTATAAACAGGGCGGGGCAGGGTGACCTTTCCCCATCCCGCCCCATAACCATGCCGGTTTTCAAATCATAATCTCCATCCCTTTCCCAAAACCATTTAACTACCCCCATAACCGTTCTAAATGTAGCGGGATATTTTGTCATCCCTAGTCAAAGCCCTTCCTACCGCAACGCACTAGTTAGAACACCCCATTGTGAAAAATTAATCCCTTCAAAAACAGAAGTTTATTTCTCCTTTCCAAAGGTTCCAACATATATATACGCACTAGAACACTCAAAGAATCCTCCTTAATATCCAGCTGAAGTGGCTAGGTGTAACAAGCACTTACCCATTTACTCAAAAATTTAAACTATTGGGTAGTACTACATATCCACCCATTTATACACACTTCAACCTCCATCCAAATCCGATGTGGGACAACTCCCACTTGCAACATTCTCTCCCACCCGAACTTGCACAACCCCCTTGATGCGGTTTGGCCATCCTGTCTACTCGGTATCAAACCCGAACGCCCTCTGGACCGGGCACATGGCATGACACCGGATTAAGGATTGAACCTGACTCTGATACCAACTGTAACAGGTGGGCGGTCGCGCTTACCTATTTACTCAAAAGTTTAAGTTATTGGATAGTGCTGCATACCCGCCCATTTATACACACTTCAACCCCATCCAAATCTAATTTGGAACAAGTCCCACTTGTAACACTAGGCTTTCACACCGTAGCTACAAATGGGCATTCAAAAACTACGGGTTTTTTCGTTTTCAGAAAACTAAAAACTCAAAACTGTACAAAAACTACGCTTGATTCAATTTTCTGAAAACTCTGCACCCAACCCACAACCTTTACACACATCAAAAACTACCACCCCTCTTCTCTTTAAATTGCTAAGAACCGGCGCTCTAGTTCTACCAATACAGCAGCACCACCACCAAAAAAATGCAACTTTCCTTTGGCTCGAATTGACCAAAGCTGTTTCCACATAGATTGACTTCTACTGGTCCGATTTACGTCATTTTACCCTGGAACATTGCTCTTCGTTCAGCCGTCTGATCGCTAGGGCTATCAAAACACACCCCAAAGCTGTGTTTTGGGTCCCAAAAGTTGGAAATAGCATCCAAGTTAGGTGGTTAAAAGCCCTTGGATATGTCTGGCATCCACATTGGAACATTGGGCATGAATGAACAAAAAAACATTAAGGCTCTGTTTGTTTCTTCGCAATCGCTGTAAAATTTCATGTAAAACATTCTTCACCTTTTCTATCAAGGTCCAACTTCTACAACCTCTTGAATACAATTACAAACATATGTACAAATATATACATACACACACATGTATAGCGAACGCAAATTGATGCAACATTCTAAACCATACAGTAATCTGTCGAACAAGAAACATTAACTAACAGCACTATGGTATGTGAAACACTTGCACCGGAAAAACATACACTTGTAGATTCTGGCTACAAAGATCTAATCCTGTTTACTTCAAATAAGATTACACAAGTTAGCCATGGAAACTAGGATTAATCAGCTGATGGAGAATGCTCGCAAATGAAAGCAATTTAGAACCCAAAAAAGAAAAGGAAAACTAGGAAATATCATCGGGATTGTGCAGAAAATGCTCATACTGTGAACCTTTGAGGGTTCTGTTAACATCCTCCCAATTGTTGATATGTTCAGAAAGGGGTTTGATGTGGATCTTCACCTGGCAAGACTTCAGTTTTCTGACAGGAACTCTAAGAAACTCTTGGGCTTCTGACATAAGCTGTGAACAAATATATATAATATCAATTGATATCTAAAGCACAATGAGTCAAAGAAGCTGAAATCTCTTATTGAAATTTACCCTAGGGTTTTTAATAAGGTCCTCATAATACAGTGTCTTGTGGGGAGTGGTCTTGAAGTACTCCAAGGAATCTGCCATCATACGTTCAGCCTTGGTGAGGTCTTCTATCAACGAACCGACATTGAGTGTGGGCTTGAATTGTGCCAGCAGATCAGCCTGCAAAAACCCATGGAGTCTAATGTATATTAGTTATGCATAGAATAGGGAAAATACTGGAAATTCACCAAAAAAAAACAACCTTCTCCAATAAAAGGAAAGATAATTAAAATTCCCAATATCGCTTAAACCAACTATTTATCTTAGGGAGATACTGGATTACTTATATAGGGAAAACATCTACCAAGCCATATGCCACGTACATTTAAGCATTCGATCTAAACAATTGTTAACCATTTAAGGGATAAAAAATATAATATAAGTTATCCCATCACCTCAATTTTGTAGAATCCCTTAATGTTGCATTTGGATAAATTAATGGATTTGAAATGAAAGGATACAAATTTGAATAAAAGATTAGCTATTCAATTCAGATTCGTAAGCCAGTGAGAATGTTAGTTTAGAGGTCTTGAAGACGTATTATCTTACAATTATTATGCTATTATAACCATAATTTAAAATAACTCCTTAAACCTAATAATTTGAAATCCATGTATAGGACTTTCAAGTCATTCTCATCCATAATGTTAAGACTTCAATCTAGATTATAAAAATCTAATTTCAAGGTATACTCCTTAAATAATTGAACTTAAATTCATTCATTTCAAATCCTTCAATCCAAATAGAGCTTTCCATCCTAAAGCTTTTAGGAGTATTACAGAGAAGAAATATGTTCATCTAAATTGTAGGAACTCCATCTTACACTGATTTTCCATATAGCTGTTCTCCTGCATCACCCCCGACGTATGATAAGCCTGAATGCTTCAAACATATCTTGGCAAAGTGGGAAACCAAATGGATAATTTGAGTTCTGATGTGCTTCCTTGTCGCACTGAACAAAATTCTAGTGGATTTTTTGGATAGAAAATTTGTTAAATGGGTTACTCAATGAATTATGGTATAAAAAATTCTCCTAGGGACCTTCTGAAAAAAGGCAAAAATAAAAATTCTCTAAGGGAGTCCTTGGTCCTCTCTAATAATCCACAGGGAATTTAAATAGGACCCGGATGGGAACTCCATATCCCAATACTTTTAGTTTTTACATTTTCTCTAGTTTTTTATGTTGCTCTATGATCTGTTAAGTTGATTCCACCCGCTGAATCCTAATCTATTGTATACATCTCAAAATGACAAGTAAACTTTAAAGTTCTCTGAAATTTTTTGAGATCTCAAAATGAAGACATCAAAGCCAAATTCAAGATTCGAAATTACTATTAAGACAAGCAACAATAACATCCACATCAATATCAGCAGAACTATATCCACCAGCAACCAACACTGCATCTAAACCTCTCCTTTTTCCTTTGGAGCCCCACCACAATGCTCCAACATACCACAACACGAAATTGCTACCTCAACTACAGCCACCAAGATGAAACTAAGGCCAACCCTCAAAACACCACCTTTACCACCTCGATCCCCATCCATGACCACTGTAACATCATATTTACTATCACGTCACCACTCTTATTATTTCCACTACCATGTTTGTCACCTCATTGCCACCACAACAAATTATCTGCCACCAAAACAAAACAAAAACAATACTACCGACATGACCACAACCATATCCATATCTATCACATAATTTAAATCAGCACTCTACCAACTTTTAGGTTCTCCAAACACTGATTCCTTAAAATATATACATACGAGAATAAATATAAAACAAAATCCAGATGTAAATGCTTCATTTGATTTGAATAGTAGATATAAGGGAAGGATGTTACGAAGTATTAGCTGTCGAATCTAAAAAATAACAAAGACCAGAAGCCCAAAAAGCTCCAATGGTATGCGGAATTGGGAAGCAAAAGAGAAAAAGAACATCGGGAAAAGAAGGGAAAAAAAAAAAGAGGGAGAGAGAGAGAGAGAGAGAAAAGATTTTCCTATGACTAACTATGAAAATAGCAACAAATGTTATCTTGGAAAAAATCCTTCATCTTAGTCTTGAGATTCTATAGTTGAGTGTGGGGTATATCCATGAAAGTTATTGATCACTAAGTTCACATAAAGGTCCCATTTATTCCTTCTGGATAGCCTCCCTGATCAAGTGTGCTAACCACAATTAAGGATGGCAACCAAGTAGGTACAGGACGATGCATGCTAATCATGACCCCACATGGTGGTAAGGCTACCCTGAAGCAAGTCAATCCTGTCCTATCCCTTGCTGCTTATCAAGCAACCTGCCTCACTGTTTCAGCATCATAATCTGGCCAACAAGCAATATACAGTCCTGCCTAAATCAATGTTCGCAGTTCCTAATACACAACTAAAACTGTCAATGGAAAATGATCAATAAACGAAAAAAAAAAAATCAAATAAAAAACGATAAGAACCTAGAAGCAAATCGGAAAACCTACCTTTGTTCCTATCTAAGCACGTGGCATACCGTTGCCCAGACCATTGATCAGAGAGAGAGTGAAGCCCCACCTGCCCCAGCATAAAGCTATAGTGTTCTAAATTTGGTTTAATCCTTGACTGGATCAGGATTCAAACCACCTGTAAAACCACCCTAACCAATATTGAAGACCCACCAAGCAAATCCCATTAGGAGGGGCACTGTGGACAGGACAGGTTGCCCAAAAACTGGATTGATGGCTAATTCATGAAAGCATATTTGAAGGCTGCGTTGACATGAAAATTTACAGTCAGGTTTTATGTAATCGAATAGCAAATAAATCCCATTCATAGTGGCCTATAGAACACAAACTCGTGTGGAAGGATTCCGTCATGGGAAAAGACTTCAGCAGAACGTGAAAAGCCACAGTGGAGTTACTTTCATATTTGAGTACAAAGAGAAATTTCACCATGAGACCACAACAGTTAACACATTTCTTTGACTTGCTGTCGCCTAGGAAGTTATAATACCTTGTGAGCATGAAAATGAACAGGTGCCAAAATTCAACTTCTAACAAAATTTCAAATGCATAGATTGTTGTCAATCATCAGTTCTGGAGTTTAGCTTTCTATTAAAAGGTTCTGAAACAGTTCTTGGTTTGATTTGGCTGATGCAAAGTCGATAGAATATTGTCACTCCTGCCGAAAATTAATTATGCCAGCAATGATTGCTACTTAATGAGGTGCAGTTGTTCTGGATACTAGTTCTTTTCAATGTGGTTCAAAAAAAAAAAAATTCAAGATGTGATCAAAGAATAAACTACCAACATTGTTATTTCTCTCCCTGGTGAAAATCTTTTACCATCCCCATGTCGAAAAGAAAACATGGATTCACACAATAGTCAATATCCTAACCAATTAGAAGATTTTCAGTTCCCGTTTCTTTTCAAATTACTTTTTTAGTTTTACGATTGGCTAAATCATGATTCTTCTAGGCAAGTCATTGTTCTCATTTAACATGGGGAAAATGGTTTACATGTAGCATAGGAAAATCAAATAAATGCTTGAATTTGGGGAATGAGACCAAAATTTGCACTGGATGATCCTAACGTATCAGTCTTTCTTCTAAATTATAAAATAAAAATAAGCGAGAATGTTAGGCCCGCATAAGAAGGTAAAGCAACTGCATGGCAATTACATTCAACAAAATGTGAAATATGCTGTGCTTTGGGGTAGATACATAAGAAGCTGAGAGTTATCTAGATAACTCCTACCAATTGTATGCACTTTATAACATGAATGCACAAGTACACGTGCACACAACATATACATACTAAAACATGATAATATATATACACACACACACAAACACAGGGTACTACCTCTTCCCTTGTATGCACATGAGACTTGTGGGTACCATTAATCTGCTTTGCATTTCTATCATAAGCATTAGCCAGCACAGATACAAGCCTCCGCAAAAGATTTCTCCGAAGAATAAAAATCACGGATACCCCCCTCAAGTTAAAGTAATTAGCTATTTGTCTGTGATAATTCATTACAGCCTGAAAACATATAAATAAACAAAAATAAGAGAACAAAAAAGAAAGAAAATAATCTACAAATAAATTGTGTTCTTCAGTGTAGTTATAACAAAGGATTTGCATTCAAATTATTAAACTATGGGAGGAACTAATAGTGCAACAGGAACTAATCTACTCAAAACCAGGCATTCAGCTCCAAATGGGAAATAAGAGATAACCTCATGATGCTCTTTCTTGCGTGACACCTACATCTTGAATGATAGATGTAAACATGCAATTTCCTTGATAACGTTTCCAAACATTTTGGCGTGGCTATATGCTGTAAGAGATGATATGCCATATGCATGTCATTGTCTTAACCAATTTTTAAGAAGGTTAAACAAAGTCACCAAGGGCCTTGTAGCCTGATGGTACTTCCTCACCTTCCAAAGTAGAAAGTTGAAGGTTCAAGTCCTCATAGAGGCAAAAGTGGGGGTGTGAGTATGTTTCTTGCCGATGGGAAAAAAAAAATGTATATCTTGATATGCATGTATCTTGTAGTATAAGAGCACTATTATTCTCACATTGAATTGCTATCTTTAAACTGATAAACATTCCATTTGCATTAGGATTTGACAAAATAGGTAATTCAAGTATCTATTCAATATCTTCCATGGACAATAAATTGATAAAATGGTAAAAGAAGGCTGCCGAGTATAAAATGAAACCAAGGCCAGTGGCCTATCTCCTCTCCTTTCAAAATTGAAAGGTGGAGGGTTCGAGTCTCCCAAGTGCATAGTGGGAGTTATTTGCTAGGACCAAAAAAAAAGAAAAACATAAAATGATAATTCCTGTTTGAGGGATTCCACTCCACCTATTAAAGCTGAAGATTGGTCAATAACTTGTCAACCCTCTTCCCCCACCTCCTCCACATCTTCCCCTCCATAATAACATTTGAGATTTTGGGACAAACACAGGATTCTAGAAGTGGACTACTGTGTTTTTTCTGTTTTACACTCTACACAAGATCTTTGTATTTTCAGAAGCACATCTGCTTCTAGCTGTACAGTTGTACCTAATTGTAAAAGGTCACGCTTGACACAAAGATTAAACTAGTGTATGAGAAGGATGCCTATCATTGGTGTTACAAGTATTACCCATTAGTGAACACCACCGTTACGTATTAGCCTAATACAAAACCAAACCCCTCAAACTAAAGATGGTCAGAAAAATATATTAACACAACATTTTTTCTTGTCTTCTTTCTTTCTTTTCTTTTATTTTTTTTTTTTTGGGTGAGGGAGACGGGAGGATAAAAACCATAATGTACCCAGAAGAACAAAATGTCCTTCCTAACATTTCCTTTTTATCAAATTATATTTAAGGTATCATTATATCTAGCTCCATCTAATTCATTGGGGACTTAAAACAAGCTAAGAAGCCAAATGGGTATTGTTAATGTGGTGAATATTCACAAATTCATCACCCATCAGTTTATAGTAGTTACCACCGGGGATGGCAACGTCAACCTATTCACGCTCCGCACCTACCTCCAAGATTTTCACAGATCCACCCTACGTCACCTGACATGTCAACATTGGTGCAACGTCAGACACATTCTGCAATGGTGCCAGTAGTTGTGCCACGTCACCTACCACGTCAGTTGTCACGCAGCAGAGGTGCTTGCAGTAGTGCCAAGTCACCTGCCACTTTAGTTGCCATGTCATCAACCACGTTAGCATCAGTGTCACGTCAGTTACATCAGGGTGAAAGGATTGTTTTCAAACTCAAGATGGCTTCGTATGACCCACCTTGACTTTGAGGGGGGTTGTTAGAATATATTGTTACCATGTTTAGGTTTACCATATAGGGTTTAGGTTTACTTACTCTATACACATGTCATCTCCTATATAAACCCCTATGTATTCTTATATTATTCACATCAATACAATAACGTTTCATCTCTTTCTCTCTATACCGGTTGACCCTGTGGCCTGGTGGCTTATGGCTTTAACATTAAGCTATCGGCCCGGGTTCGAGACTGATACAGAGAGAAAGAGATGAAACGTATATTGTACTGATGTAAAAGACGACATAAGAATACATAGGGGTTTATATAGAAGACGACATGCATGGAGAGCAAGTAAACCTAAACCTTATATGATAAACATAAACCCTATATGGTAAATCTATACATGGTAACAATATATTCTACAATATATTCTAACACCCCCAAAGTCAAGGTGGGTTATATGAAGCCATCTTGAGTTTGAAGACAATCCTTTCACCCTGATGTAGTTGACGTGGCACCGATGCTAACGTGGTTGAAGACATGGCAACTGAAGTGGCAGGTGACTTGGCAATACTACTGGCACCTTTGTTGTGTGGCAACTGACGTGACACAACTACTGGCACCATTGCAGAATGTGTCTGACGTTATACCAATGTTGATATAGGGTGGATCTGTGAAGATCTTGAAGGTAGGTGCGGAACGTGAATAGGTTAACGTTGCCATCCCTGGTGGTAACTAGTATAAACTGATATTTGTGAAGATTCACCACGTTGAAGGCGTGTGTGAGTGCATGATGACCACTGATGGCGCGTGGTGGCACGGTGACGGAGCTGATCCGACACGCTAAGGTGCGGGATTATGGCTGGTGCGCGTGAAAGCGCATGGAAGAGTGGGATTACCACTTGAGGCGCATGGTGGCGCGATAATAGAGATGATACGACACGTTGAGCATCTTTGAACAAGGCATTTCGTTAAAAAAACAAGGCTTCCCTATACGGGGCATCCCTAGGCGGGGCTTATCTAAATGAGGCATCTCGTTGGATTTCCCGAAGAAAGACTTGGATAACAAGACTTCCCTGAATGGGGCACATGAAGATCTTGGAGTGCGGAAGCGTGAGTTTGTTGGTTGACTGCCGCCGAGGATGGGACTGATAGTGTCATCCCCGGCAGTGGCTCTGATACCATGTTAAATATAAAAGAGAAGAGAGAGAGAAACAAAACGTATATTGTATTGATGTGAATAATATAATAATACATAGGGGTTTATAAAGGAGACAACATGTGTGGAGAGCAAGTAAATCTAAACCTTATATGGTAAACTTAAACCCTATATGGTAAATCTATACATGGTAACAATATACTCCCTCTGTCCCAAAATAAGTGTCATGATGTCCTTTTTTGTCTATCCCAAAATAACTGTTCACTTTCCTTTTTCAAACAATATATTTCACATCGTTCCAAATATGTCCTTTGAGTTTTAAATTTCAAATTTGAATATTTAAAACTTAAAAGGGCAATTTAGTAACTTTCCAGGGAGACAATGCATGTCCCACATGTCCCCTTAAAAATTACTACTCCCAAAAGCGACACTTAAATTGGGACGGAGGGACTATTCTACAATATAGTTTAACATGTATGTTATTATGATGTTTGGTGGAAGGAACTTGCTACTGCAACTACTAGAAGAAATAAGTTTTTATTAAGCACTTTGAGACAAACTAAGTTTGATTGTAGAGATTTCAGATAAAGCGTCCTCCACCGAGTATCCTTTCCTCGGTATCAGACCAGAAAAACGATTGAATGTTGGTCAAAAGGGTTACTCTGAGTTGGAATTGTATTTAATGTGTCTTTTGGCACCTTGGGCTCCCATGACCTTACATTTGGTTTCTTTCCTTGTTGCCAACTTCTTTTAGAATCAAATCCATAAGCTCAATTATTTCAATTTCTAAAACATAATAACATATAAAATATTATTAGTATAGGTTGAAGGATATAAATATAACAACCTCTCCAACAATATCTTAAGCTTTTGGAGTAGATGGTTGTTATCATGATATCAAAGCCAAAGGTCTCAAGTTCAAACCTCACCGTCACCCTAATTGAAGATTGAAAAACACCTGTTGGACCAAAAAAGAAGGCCGCACGTGAGGGGGCGTGTTGAAGGATATAACTATTACACCCTCTCCAACAACAGCTTAAGTTTTTGGAGTAGATGGTTTTTAACAGTATAGGAGGCAATATTGGCAATAAAAAAGAAATTCCAACACTGTCCTTCCACTTCTAACTTCTGTGTAGGAGACTCTTGATGGAATATCATCTACCTTAGAATATATGGTAACTAACTAGTAATTTTCGCATGATATAATATATGTCACACAAATAAGAAACCGTTGCCCAATGTCACATCAAAACCAAGTTTTAAATTGAAATGTTTATGTCATATGTTTTCCACATGGCAGCATTTTATATGACAGGCATACAAAGAAAGTGATGCAATGAGAAAAGGACATCATTCTAGTTTGTTTTACAAAAAAATTGAATCATAAGCTATAAGCCTCCAGAATTTTTAGCTGCAGGAGCAGAGGAACACCTTCGCCTACGAGATTTAAAAGTTTTTAGTTTGTTCAAGCACTAGTGTGATTAGAAAGCAACTGATTGAAATTTAAAGAAATAACTTTAGGAGTTTCCCCACAACTACTTGGGAAGAAGCTGCATCCTTGTCATATAATAACCAGACAACAGAAAGATAACCTTACAAAAGTAAGGATAAGAAAAACAAAAGGCATTCTTCTAACCTGGTTCAGCATCCACTTGAATCCAACTGCAGCCACACACTCATTTTTTGCAGCACTACTGATCCACTCTAAGTTATATATACTATCTAAAGTTTTTTCAATTGTTGAAAAATTGCTCTTTCTTTGCTTTACAGAAAATATTTCTCCATTTGAACTAATGTTAGGGTGACTGTTCAATAAGGTTTCAAACCATCCGCTTCCAGATCTCTGCATGGACAAAATGACAAAGAGCCGGACTGGGGTACATGCACACTCCTCCCTGTCAAAATCAATTTGACAAGTTCAATATAGAAATTTGAATACCTACCAAAAATATATATACATATATATAGCAATTTGAACACTGGAAGTGGTCGGAAAGAAGGCTGATGATATGACCTGCTATAAGTCTTCGGTTGAGGAAAATGGACGTGGCGTATTTCTTCAGGTTGGAATTCATGAAGATCACAAGATGCACCAGCTCTCCGCGGTATGGATATTTCTTTTGGTTTTAATGATATAGTTATCCCCTTGATGCTTACAAAGCATGTGTACAGTCCAAATACCACAAGAACAAAAAGAAGAACCAACCATAGCACATATTGTGATTTCTTTGAAATTCTGGCTGAAATAGATATCAAGCTTATCTCCCGGTCCATCATTGTGTTTCTTATCTGGACTCAAACTGTGATGGAACATCATTTCATTGAACTTGTTGTAGTGCATTGACCAAGGTCCACCGTGCTGCACTTTAGAGATATCATCAGTAAGGCCTGCAAAATGGATTGAAAAGATTATCATTTGTAGCTGCATCACTCGAATGCTACAAAGTTTTCCTGGACAAACATTATAAATTGACTGGGAAAGAAACAGAACATTGATAGAACAACAAGATATACACATGTACATATATATATATAATCAAAAGTCAAACTTTTGGACAAAGTTGAGCAATAAAACATTTTCTCCCATATATAGACATGATCAATGGCAAAAACAACAAATTTTATGTATCTACAGTCGAAAGAAATCTGTGGAACATAAGCCTTGATAACGCAGTCACCTGCATACCTAAGAGTCTTCAAATTGTAGCTCTTGAAAACCTTAATGAGAGTGTGGCACCATGACAATCTATCAAAAGAAAATTTTAAAGAGCTCATAATCAACACCTGCCCAAACCCTTCCTAGAATCGCCAACCAAATCCACAACAAAGTATGTCCAAGTAAGTCGTGAGTAAGGTGTGCCATAGAACAGACACTCCTCAGACTTCTTTAGCCCAACCTCCAAAGGAATGGGAACACCTCATGAAACCACCCAAAAAAGTAAATCTATATTTACATACCCATGCTTATTAGTTTAACAAAGACATATACTATTATTTTATCAATATCTTAACCAACCGTATTTTCATTGACGATCGGCATCCTAATTAGAGATGAAAACGAGTTAGGTGTTGGATGGTGCACCTGAATCCTAATCCATATAAATTTCCAATTCAGAAAGGCACTGTCAACCCCATCCGTGTGCATTCTTTCCTGCTTATCAAACACCCAGCCTCACTCACAATATCTAATTTCTCAGAACAAATTACTCTGCATGGGGAAAAATATCTGAATTCCCAAAAAGCACGAGCACAAAACCGTGCATGTGCAGACGAAAGAACACACGCAAGAGAGAAACAGAGAGAAATTACCACTTCCCAGCCCCATGGTCACAATAGTGTTCTAGAATTGGCTTTTAAATCTTGGACAGATTTAAGTTTTTAATCTACCTTCGAAACCAATCCACCATGATTGAAGACCCACAAACAAATTTCATTAGGGGTGGGGCAGGTAGGAGTGGCAGTACAATTTATCCAAAAACGGGTTGAATACCTAGTCCTAACCTAAGAACATGATTTAAAGGCAAAATTGGTAGTCCTAACCTAGAAAGCTGATTTAAAGGCAAAATTGGCAAATAACTTTACGGGCAAGATCTAATGTATGGAATACTAAGGAAAACCCGTCATCATGACCTCTAAAATACACATATTGAAGCGTTTACCAGTGAGAAGAGACTTCAGCAAGACACTAACGGCCAAAATGGAACCACGTTACTTTTATGTATCCGAAGTGATATATCATGATTGTGGAGAATTAGGTTCTTGTTTCATTTTCTACGTTAACTTTTCTTTATTTTAGTTCCTTCCGTATTTTTTTTCATCCCAACCGTATTAATATTCTCCCATTGATGTTTTTGTATAGTCCAATTTGTTTTCGCAGTTGTTTTCAGGCACATATTACCTAGCCAAAAATTAAGGAACAAGCAACCAACCAAACTAAAAGCATATGGAAAAAAGAGAGCACTTCAAGTGTGTGTGTGTGTGTGTATATATGTATGTATGTGTGTATGTATATATATGTATGTATATATAAATGTATGTGACTATAATTGTTGGAATATGGTCTTGACTGCTAAAACTACCATAATTCTGGTTAAATCTAACAAGATTTCTAAGATATACACCATGAGCTGATGCAATATTTCTTTCAATCATCTGGCTTAATCTTATCTCTTTTCTTTTATACGAGGCATTCTTGTTTAACCGGAAATTTGTCTACAAATCTTCTCAAGAAAATAAAGGAACAAATGTTTCAGTGAAAATTTGTTTTGAGATATATAATGTAAAATAAAAATGGGTTTCAAACATTTTTTAGTAGAAACTCCAAGAAACCATTTACAGTCCAAACAAAGCCCAATAACTATCAATTTCATTTCTGGGTATTTTGAGTACTTTCGGCAGTCAAACAGTGTTCTTCACATGAAACAAAACGCCAACAAAATTGGGGGCAGAAAAATACACAAGAAATCAACAGAAAATAAAAATCAATAAATGCATACAAACACAAAAGAAACCAGAATCTAGTACTTCACCATCATGATATTTACTTGCAAAAAAAAAAAAAAAACAGAGAACTTTAAGCTTACCTTTTTAGTGTTCAAGAGATTCGCAGACATTCCACAAACCCTAGGGAAATATGTGCGCGCGTGTGTGTGTGTGTGTGTATAATGGTATATGATATTGATGGATACGCTGACTTACATAATTTTGGTAAATGGACCTCTGCGGAGAGAGAAGCAAATATGGGAACTAGTGAGAGAAAGCAGAGGGGTTTAAAGATGGAAGTTTAGAGAGACATGGGGGTTTAAAGAAGCCTCTGTAATGAGTTGAGAATTTTTTGGAGTTTCCAACTGGGCTTCAATCGGGTACGGCCCGCACCATGCAACTCCTAACGGCAAACGTTTCTTTGATACGTCCCATTTAGGGAGACTTTGTGAACTCGTGAATTTTAATTTATGAACAAATCAAAGTGACCTAGTATAACATTTGAATTATATAATATATAATATATAATATTTTATTTTTAAAATGTCATGTACCTTTTTTATTGGCGTCAATTTGCGTGTTATTAGTAATTACTCTAATTGTGCACACTCATTGAAATTAAATATATATATAAAAGATTTACTTACCAAAACATATTCAGTTTGGAATCTTTTAAGCTTTATTTATTTGAAATTCGGAAAGAGACTATAACCACAAAGCTAATAAATATAATTTCAGTTTTTTTCTCAATTGGAAAGAGAAAATAACTCGTGTGTCAAAATTAGATATTTCTTCAATTACATTTCACTTATTTTTTTATTTTTTTTTTTTAATAAAAAGGATAATGCTTAGCTACTTGCCAGTGAGTAACTTCACCCTGCTCGTCCTTATGTGTTCCAATAATAAAATAACACATCAATTTTAATAACAAAATAACCCAAGCTCTCCTCTACTTTCTCGGATCAACCATTGAATACATGTATAGGGTTTTTTTATTATTATTTTACTAATTTTGTTATTAAGGTTGATGTGTTATTTTGTTATTGGAACATATAAAAAGGTGAATAGGGTGAACTTATTCACCAGTAGCTAAGCATACTCCAAAAAAATAAAAATGATAAGAATGTCCTTAAATATATTAATGCACCATTCTTTATGTTATAATGCCATAAATTCCCTTTATACAATTTTAACTTGTTTTTACCTTATTTACTTCATTTACAATTTTTTTTTTTTTTCCTTTTTGTCTTATACTTTCTTTTTCTTTTTCTTTTTCTTCCATACTTATAATTTTATTTTTGGGAGTGGAAAGAGATAATTTATTCAATAGTGATTTTTTATTTTTATAAATTATTCAAAAGAGGTAATTCTTATTTCTTGATAGGTCTCGTTAAAGGAAATAATTTATTCAATAGAAATAATTTTATTTTATTTTTTGTCTTATCAAAACAGATAATTTATTCAATAGAGAGAGATCTTTTTTAATCATCTTTTTGGTACCTTTTTTTTTTGTATCTTGACAAAAGAGATGATTTCTTCAATAAATATATATATTATTGGTTTTTTTTTTTTTTTTTCTATCAAAAGAGATAATTTTTTTACTGTTACGTTTTTTTTTTTTTTTGGTCGGGTCAAAAGGGGCAATTCATTTAACATATATATATATGTTAAATGAATTGCCTATATATATATATCTAGTAAAAAAAAAATTTATTCAACATTTTTTTTTTTTTTGTGTCAAAGAGATTTAAAATATTAAAGATTATAGATAAGGGAAGGAAATATGAAGAGGAAATCTGAAAAGGCAGCTGTGTCATTTAAAAAATAATAATCATTTATTTATAAAGTTAAGATTATAATTGTTATTTCATTTTAGATTGAAGTGCGAATGTAGAAAAATAGAATGCGAATATCGCTACTCATACTTTTTTATTTATACATGATTTTTTAGTTTTTTCTTTAATATTAAATTATATAGAATAATACTATATAATTTGTTTTTAACTTGTTTTTACTTTATTTACTTCCTTTACTTTTTTTTTCCCTTTTGTGTTGTACTTTCTTTTTCGTTCATATTGATAATTTTATTTTTGGCAGTCAAAAGAGATAACTTATTCAATAGTGATTTTTTATTTTTTATTTTTTATTTTTTCGCACAATGAAAACATATAATTTATTCAACAAAGTTAACTTTTTTTCATTTTTTGTCTTACTCTTTTTCTTGATAGGTCTCGTCAAAATAAAAAAAAATTATTCAATAGAAATAACTTTTTTTTTGGTCTTATCAAAACAGATAATTTATTCAATAGAAATAAATTTTTTTTTTTAATCATATTTTTTTGTATTTTATTTTTTTGGATCTTGACAAAAGAGAGAATTTTTTTTCAAAAGAGATAATTTCTCCAATAAATATAATTTTTTAGGGGGGTTCTATCAAAAGAGATAATTTTTTTAATGGATACATTTTTTTTTTTTTTTTTGGGTCCGGTCAAAAGAGGCAATTTATTCTATATATATATATATATATATATATATATATATATATATATTTGATCCTGTAAAAAAAAAAAAAAAAATTTATTCTAACTTCTTTTTTATTTTTCTTGTCAAAGAGAAATTAGAGATAAGAAGAGGAAACCTGAAAGGACAATTGTACCATTTAAAAAGTAATATTTATTTACTTATAAATTTAAGATTAGAGTGCAAACTAACGTTTTTATTTATACATAATTTTTTGGTTTTTTCGTTAATATTAAATTATATAGAATACTTCTATGTAAAGAACAATATATTTATAGTTTTATTTAGCGTGTTAATTCTAAATGGTTATAAAACCATTTACAAGATTATATGTCAGTTAAAACTGGGTAAAATTTTAAGAAATAATAAAAAAAAAAATAAAAATTATCACTCAATATCAGATAACACCTAAGTCTCTATGCAAAACAACAATTTTATATCAAGTTTCAGAATATTTCTGTCCTTCCAAGCATCCTTGTGTCTGTCACAAATAATCATAAAAAAGCCTACGTTATGTTTTCTAACTCGATCACCGATTATTGTAATTTAATTGTACTTTTTTATCTCCAAAAGTATTGGTTCAAAAGCTCAAGTCTTCGTACAAAAGAAGTTTAGCAATTTAAATACCTTCAAAAGTATTAATTCGAAAGAAGTTTGGCAATATTAATACCTTCAAAAGTATTAATTCGAAAGTTCAAGTCTCCATACGAAAGAAGTTTAAACACCTTCCGTTCCATTAATAGTTTGACCTTCCATACCAACAAAGTATGTAAAAATAATAAATAATAAATACTTTCACAAGATTCTCATTCCTAGCACGTACAGATACCAAAAACACATGTAGCATTGCTTGTTTCTAAAAACCAAGTCAATATGAACTAGATAAGCTCTTTGCTGAACTGTTTACATAGAGAGAGATTGGTTAACCACAAAGCAATGAATAGCCTCCATCCAAACACAACCCATCATGAACTGCAGGAGACTGAAACAAGAAACATAAATCAATCACCGTCTACTGCATTTAAGGACTCTATAAGTTTTATACATATTGTTCCTTTTGAACAGCTTCAATGGCTAATTTAAGCACCTCAAAATCTATAGTCAAATTAAAAATGGAAGGGTCTCAGTCCAACTAAAAATCAACAAAACACAAGATTCTACCAGCTAATGCAAAATGCAGAGACTAGAAATCACAAGCAGTGCCATGCTTTCTTTGAAGAGATTTGCTGTTCACACCGAAATCGGCGTGAGAACAATTTTCCCAAATTGAAATATTTAAAAACCTTCACAAAAGGCATGAATATCTAACAATCTTCCTCTACGGCGGCCACTGCTGCAAGTAAAAATCTGTACATATTCCTTTAACATCCATATAATAAACTCTACAAGAATAATGAGTTAATTCTCAACAGAGAAGTCTTTTCAGAGTGATTTGAACCTGTACTACAGAAGAAGCCAAAAGGGTCAAAGAACTAGGCTCCATTTTTTTTCCACCACCAAAACTGCCTGAACAAATATATTTTCCTCATTCGGGCATTGTACGTCATGAAGGCTCTGGCTTTGATGGGATCAGCATTCAAATACTCGAAAGCATACATTTGTTGAGCCTCTTCCAAGCCATCGATTTCCATAACGGCGTGTAAAAGTCCAGATGCATCGATTGTACTTTTGCTTAGCTCAAGTGCATCAGCCAAGTGCCGAATGCTCGATGCCACTGCCAACATTGCATCCTGGAGAGCCTCCGAGCCCCGAGACCGTTTCGAAACTTGTCTCAGAGGCTGGATTAAAGGAACATCTTGACTACCAGCTGGCATCTGGTTATGCTCTGGCTGTCTGGTAGATGATTCTGTCTCTGTTCCATCCGTGTCGCTCAAGCCTTCAGAACTTGGTGAAAGAAATGAAGCAGAATCTTCTTCATATTTAAATTCTGTTGCCTGGCTTCCATTCATATGATCCGTCATCCTAGCCCAACGAGTAGGAGCTTGATAATTTCCACAGACAATTCTCAACTCATCGTACATCTCAATCTGCTTTCCACGGAGTCCCCTTGCATCAGGGCGCACCTATTCAATGTATTTGATGATCACCAATAAACGAAATGTAAACAAGAGCATGACACATTTGGAAGGATGAAATATTCGGTAAAGAAGAGAAGAATCAACTTACAGCAATGTATCTCTTCCAAAGATCATCATTGTCACACTCAATCATCTTTGTATTTGGATTCCACGTGAACCCATCTTGATTTAGCATGTCCCTCATTATCTTGTACCGTTTCTTAATTGTCTTGAGACGATTAACAACTTTCTGATTATTTAAAGACAAATTAAAACGAGTGTTCACGGCAACACAAGCAGCGCTGTATGCATTTTCATTAAAGCACTTGTCAATTTTATTCCCGTTTCTAGCCTGGATAGCAAGGGATTCGATTAGACACTTGTCCATTGCTATAGACCACACCACATTCTTTCCTTTATGCTTCATTTCCCTTTTGCGACCTCGCAATTCATTTTGATCCATTCCTGATGCAGTAATAATTTCATAAACTTCGTTAAACAGAAATATAGATTTTATTTTTTAGGAAAAAAGAACAAATTCTTTTACATGCCATGTGAAAAAACAAAATGCAGCATAATATTATAATAAAGAGTAAAGACATATAATATAAAGACGAAGTGCAATCAATAACAAGATCTTATCATATGCAAATTGGCAATGCCACCATATATCACACGATGCATACTTCTAAGTTCTCTAACAAGGATGTAGATGAACTAACAAAAAAATTGTTAATTCAATAGGACTAAGTTGGTTAAATTCGTATAGATCAAAACATGTTCAATACTTTTGTTTTAATTTCTAGTTAGATAGAAATATGTCAAAAGTGAGTTTAGTGTAAATTACCTCCAAGTTGAAGATCAAGCGACAAAAAAAGGTTAAATGGTAATCTTCTACATCACGGGTAAAAAGGTAAGTTTGCACTATGATGCACACTTAAAAAAATTCATGCATTGCATATACATGGCAATGATAGCATCTTAATTTTAAAGTTTTCCAAGCTTATTTTGATTCCAAAATATGCATGGGTGATGGGTATGCACGTCCTTTTTTATAAAGAAAATTGTTTTCTGCAACTTTTTCTAACCATCAAAACTGCAGTATTTTTTATCAATCGAGCATTTGATCGAACCACGCTAAAATTGCGCCAATCAATAAAGGACTCAACTCTTCTCTTATTCTAACTGAAACTCAATTCTTTAAAGCCTATAAATACAAAACTTGTATCACTGACGTATGCATTATACGAGTTCAGAAACACTATTCGAGTTTTTACACAAGATTAACATCTCATATACATGATCAACACATACATCATTGAGAAATTCTTGTGAATTTATCAGTGCATCTTTATTTTCAGCATTCATTATATGCATTAGTATATTGGTGAGTTGTTATCGCATGTGTTAATGCATTCATTACTGCACCTAAACAATCAACAGCAGATTTTCAATTGGATGACTAGTGGCTAAGGCTAATCGCTAAAGAAGTAACATATTCGCGGTTGCATTTCTGTAGACAAATCGGAAGGACAGCCTGGAGATCTTTGAAGGACTGAAGATTTATCAGTGCATCTTTATTTTCAGCATTCATTATATGCATTAGTATATTGGTGAGTTGTTATCGCATGTGTTAATGCATTCATTACTGCACCTAAACAATCAACAGCAGATTTTCAGTTGGATGACTAGTGGCTAAGGCTAATCGCTAAAGAAGTAACATATTCGCAGTTGCATTTCTGTAGACAAATCGGAAGGACAGCCTGGAGATCTTTGAAGGACTGAAGATTTGGTGTTCAACTGTGTCTAAAGGTAAGGGCTCAACAGTACTGAACTGTTAACCTAGGGTGTAAATCTCTTTCTTGAAAGTGGATTAGTTGCCTGTACTAGGTCCCATGGTTTTTTGACTCTCAGTTGAGAGTTTTTCCACATAAAAATCTAGTGTCATACTTCCTGCTTACTGATTTATTTATTTATGGTTTGCATGCACAGGTCAAACTGCTTGAGTTGATATATTACAGTATTTTTTAATAATACATGCTTAAACTAGGTTAAAATAAAAGAAATTTTATTTGTTCTACAAGACCTATTCAACCCACCCCTCCCTCCCAGTCTATTTCAGTTAACCTTGCGCAACGCTCTATCATAGCCTCAGGTTTCATTTCTAATGTTTCACACATGTTTTATCGATTGGTTTTAGAACATATCGATTGACTTAGCGGGGAAAGAAAAAAAAAAAAAAAAAAAAGGGCACACTTATAAGCAGACTAATGTTTACATACAAGCAATCAACTGAAAATTATTCAGTGAAAATTTTTAAGTGCTGAAGATCAGTGTTGTCAAAGGCGAGCCTAGGCTCCAGGCCCATACAGGTGCAACATTTGTGCCTGTTGTGTGCTCAGGTGCGCCTTTGACAACATTTGTGTCTTTAATATGGAATATAAATATGCTTTAATAGTAATTTAAATTTTCAACTGTCCCTCGCTTCAGTAAGGGGCGCACCTCGCCTTGCACCTTGCACCTAGGCTCCAAAGGACCTCTAGTGCCTTGGGGCCTTTGATAACACTGCTGAAGACTTTAAGCCCCAGAATTGGTGGAACTGAAAAATCAATCGTGAACTCGAAAATCCAAGGGGAGGAGGAGAACAATACCCACTCTTTATAAAATGTATTCAGCATTCAGTAAAAACCCATATCTCTCACACTTAAAATTAAGATCCTTATTGGGCCCTTATGGTATCCAGTACAAACTCGATGACTGGCAAAGCAAATAAATCAACTTCGGAGTATATTTATTGTGCAAAGAGTGAATTATGACATGTGGCTGCCCGCCTGGAAGGATGGCTCCTCCATTGTGGGTAAACAGGACACCAAACTCCACAAACCCAAAGGAAGGCTGCACAGCAGCAGTAATAAGGGTGGCACAACTCTGTGCAGATCAGTATTGTTCAAAAAAATCAAAGCAGACCATGGGTACAGACCTGAGCTATAGACAAAGGACTTCCGTAGAATAACCAGTTATGATAACTAGTTGTGAGACACAAGCTTTTCGGTGTTAAGCACTTAATTGAATTATCAATTTGTTAAGAAAAAGAATTATCAATTTGTGAATGTTAACTATAAACACAATCCTAACAGTTGCTAAAGAAGGAGAAGAAAAAATTAAAAAAATACTTGAGCTCCCCCGTTGAGTTGGAGTATCATTATCTTCTGAACATAGAAAGCAGCACCCTTGAATACAGTAACACAATAATGTATTCTATTAAAAATTGGTACTTCATGTTATGACATTCTATATCGTCATCATAATCATAGATTTTTTTTTCCTGTAAGTATTTATTTGACACCCCTTAAGTCATACCAAACATTAGTCAACAGTCTAATTATAGAAGATTGTAACTTGCTGAGAAACTGGTAGCTAGTATGACATATACATGGTGCCTTACCAAGTTGATAAAATGAGAAATTGTTTTAGGATGCTTTGAGAAGCAATCTCCCGCACAAATCATGGAACATAAAAAAACTTCAGACCTCCTGTTCTTGCTAATATTTGGGGCCATGGTGAGAAATAAAAGTAGCCAGTCACTCATCGGTGTATAATGAATGGTATTCAGCAGCATGACAATGGCTTTATACGGCTATTCTTATATGGAATATGCAATGAGTTAGACAATGAGTTAAAATGGTTTGGACTCAAGTGGTGCAATACAAAAAGTGCTGCTTCGTATCGATTTATGATATACTGTAATTGTTCATAGATAAGCAAGCCTCACACAAACTAGGGCAAAAATTGCAAGCTAAAGCTACGAGAAAGATAAACGTTTGTGTGTGAGCAAGCACAAGTGCATGTGTATGCATGTGCCTGTGTGTTAGAGAGAGAGAGAGAGAGGGAAAGTGCCAGCACATGTTGGTGTTTGTTTTATTGGGCTCACTGTAGTAAGTCTTTCCTACTAAGTCAAGTGTCCGAGCTGGAAGAAAACCAGTAACCTCATGCAAGCCAAATGTAGATACCAATAGGCTCTAGCCTATATGGTATAGGCTCTCCCTCCCCAAAGGGTGGGGGCAAAATATGGGTGTGTGCGCTTACTTTACCATTAAAAAAAGAAAAAATGAAGGAAAAAAAAAAAGCAAGCCAAATGTAGATAAAAGATTATTTAAATTACTAAGAAAACTACAAATTCGCTTCATAGGATCTACAAAAACATTCAGCTTCCAGAGTTCAACAAGAGTGGTGATGAACAACATAATAAATCATAAAATAAGAATTAGTCATTGAACTCTTGCCAAAGCACAACGGAGCTTGTCTATGAACCTGAGCAAGTTTTCAAGATAGGTTGATAGGCGCTTAGGCTGCATTAGGCTAGATAATCAATTGTTTCAAGCATAGTTACTAGAACCAGGCTGACAAACAGGACATTTAGCCAACCAAGAAATTGGGTCAACCGATTAAACTAAAAAAATGAAACATATTTGGAATCAGTGACATGAATCCAATTTGTTATTCCACCCTGTCTATGCCATAATCTCATCAAATCACGTGCTACAGTATCAGTCCTTACGATTTTTTCTCCAGTTATGTTAGTTTTGCTCTTTCCCATCTCTTGGCATTAACCTACATGAGAACCACGTCACTCTTCTTCACTGATGCAGCTATTGGTCTTTGCTACACAAGGCCAAACCATCTTAGTTGACTTTTCATTTAATCTCCAATAGGTGCCATTTCAATCATCTCACCACTGCGTTCAACTTTAATTTTGTCCGTTCTTGTCCTATAATATATCCATCTCAACATCCAATTTTTGACACTACGTTACGAACATCTTTCTTAGTAGTCTAAAAAACTAGGATTATGTCCTATAAAGTATGGCTGGTCCAACAATTGTTTTATAGAATTCATCTTTTAATTTTAGATATATACATAATACATCGATTACATAATATCTCAGAAGCACTCCACCATTTAATCCTTTATTCCTTAATTCTATGAGTAACATCATAATGAAACTCTTTTCTGTATAAGCAAACCTAAAATATGAAAATTATTCGCTTATTGGTATCTCATGATCCTCAACCTTCAGAACATCTCATTAATGTTCCTAGTTTTACCAAAGTTACATCTCACAGTTCAGTTTTAGATATTATGATTAAAGATACATGGTGAAAAAAAAATACCAAATACGCTACAAATTATGAATATACTCATGTATTTACAATACTTGAATATGCGAAACAAAAGTCATGTAATGTAATATATAATGAGAAAAAAGTATCGAATAACTAAAACTCGCATAAAAGATCCTTGGTTGAAAAACAGTTATGTCAAAGAAAATGTTAAAGAGAATATATGAAAGCTACAGTACTCTTTGGAGGTCCTGTCAAATATTATGGCCTATTGTCATATACTTAAAGCACAAAATATGTCTACAAGAGACAGAATGTAGGGATAAGGTAACACAAATATACCTAGCTTTCATTTGATTGCTGAGAAAGACATCAAAGGGGATCAAATTAAGTCAAACTTTAATTTGTTTTACACTATTCTGAGACTGAACAAAATATTTTACAGAAGACTATTATTATAAGCTAGCTCAATGGGCTGTTTTGTCAATTCAAATGCCAAGCTGACAACAATATCCCCCCCCCCCCCCCCCCCCCCCCCCCAGCACAACAACAACACACACACCCCCACCCAAACAAGAAGAAGAAAAAAACGAAAGAAATAAAGAAGGACACTCGCGGCTGGTTGTTCTAGTCATATACATGTACATATTCTATAAGGAAGAGAGAGAGAGAAAATAAGGAGATAGGGGCAGGCTGGAAATAATGTTCATCTACAAAATATAGCTCTCCACGTTGAGAGTTGTAACTGTGGCTCTAGCTCCTGTTTCAATTTACACGGTGGTGGTCAACATAAGAGAGGGCATTAAAAAATATAACTGTATCAGCAGGAAGGTCAGAGCTTTACACTTAATATTATAGTGTTATTTAATTCTTTGCTAAACTCATTTCCTTTGGCCGTAATTGGGTCAGCCTAAGAAAGATGGACACTTCTATGAGGTGTCGTGTCCGTGTCATACACCGACATATCATGGACACTCCTAGACATGTCTCCAACACTTCATGGTTGTGCCCATATAATTTTAAAAATAATTTTTATTATTTCGGGCACTTGGCCGACACATATCGGACACTTGGTCAACACATTACCATATGCCGCATTCTTCCTCTTATATAAACAAACATATGACAACCTAGAAACAACACTCTGAAGTAGTCTCTGAACATACATCAAAATGTACAAACCTCCTTTTCTTTAAAAAATTGACAGTAAACACATGTCATAGGATGTAATGTAAACAAAAACATAACTAGAATGACAAGATAGGATAGCAATATCATATATAATAAAATATTTTCAGTTTGATATTCGAATAGCTTCACCGTCTAACCTTTTTTTTTTTTTTTTTTTTTATAAGTAAAGGCAAAGGTAAAGCTTCACCTTCTAACTTATGTAACTTTAGTATTGAAATTATAAACTAATTAAAGAACTATCTTACTCAATAGATATATAAATGAAATTTTATAATTATATGAGTTGTGTCCACCCTATATCCGTTTGTGTCTTACTTTTTCAAAATTTGACGTGTCGAAGTATCCGTGTTGTATTGTGCCCATGTCTCGTATCTGTGTCCATGCTTCTTAGGGGTCAGCTTTGGCCTTTGGGACATATCTCAAGTAGTGACCACATTTTTGTCAATGTTTACTCTGTTTAATATAGTTGTGCTAATATATTTATCATTTTCAACCATTTATTGTGAAATGAATAAGCAACATAGCTGCTACTAGAACAACTACAAATTTTGATCATCAATTTAACAATTAATAATTCATTTGACAGCGTGTACAATGTCATGAATTGTGTTAATGGACTTTCCATGGAAAATATAGCTTTTGTACCTAAGATTTCTTCATTGAAGACAAACAAAAGCACTAGTAAGGATGAGACATTAAATTTGAGTTGAAGGAACTACACAGATGAGGAAGGTTAAAACAAGTTTGTTTGAGGTAATGAGAAATACATCATGGTCTAAATTTGACAAAGGGTATGGAACTTGATAGAGCTTAATGATGAAAAATTAAAATGTCCCTTATTTTTTCAGGTTTCACATTCAAGGTATAAAATTCTCTACTCTTTTTCATTTATATGTTCTTTAAGTATGACTTTTTTCTTTTAAATTTATCTATAAGTTGGATCTGCTAAAAAAATTTATTTTACCATGTGATATGCTTTTGCTTTGCAAAATGAATTAATATAATTTCTTGTTAAATCATTTGAAAATAGATTTATATCTATGCCAAATACATGAGAAATAGTATAATTTTAATGAATGAGAAATGTTGAATTTGGATAGTAGAATGCCTGGTGTCACACCACTCTCCCAAGCCCCTGGTGATTACGGTGTGATTGGTCCAGTGCGGGAGCCAATAAAAGGGTCTGGGATTGAGTTTACAACGAATATTCACACAATCCATCATGTACAACATTTTCTCAATAATTCATTTATTTTCATTTGAGTCATTAATATATCCATCAATAATAACAAAATTCAAACTCACCCCCACTATGCTAACAAGATTCATCCTTATGATTATTATATGACCTAATCCATCATCTTCACCAAATACCATACATTACTCGAAATATTAACTTAAAAAGCTCTACATTGGGCAGTATCTTCCATGTAATTAGAGATATATCAATCTCTCTCAATGCCAAGATTGTCCATTTCGACGGTCCATCTCCGCTTTCGTCTCATCCCTATAATGTGCAAGTAATGGGGGGGGTGAGCACGAGTACCCAAATACCTAGTTCGATATATGATCTGGACCTCCGGATGATTTAGCATAAATAATTAAGTACAAAAATTCAAAAACAATCAGGTGTTCATTATCACAACACAAATTTCTCATCAGGTTAAAGAGGCCGATTATTATCTAAACCAAGGGATAGGTCAGTCCATAAATTGAATGATCCTTTCTTTAGGATTCTCGTCACTCTCTTTCCTTTGATAATCCCAATCCCATGGTCACACCATCCTTTCTTTAGGATATGGACATGATGTGGTAGTGACACCAGTTGAATCAGAATACCAGATTAATAGGTGCGCCAAACAACAATAACAACAAAAGAAAGATCATGAGGTTCAACTATAGGAATTCAGAAATGAATTTCTTAAGTACTAAGTACCAAGGCCCTTTACTTTCACAAAAAAAAAATAATAATAATAATAATAAATTAAAAAAAATAAGATGCAAGTCCCAACTCCTGAGTCACCCTCAATCACAATCAACTTTTTTTTTTTTTCCTAGTTGGGACTCACACACACCGCCTCCACTAAGGTTCGAAACCCTGACCTCCCTTTGGGAAGTAGGAGCCTTGTACTGCTAGGCCAGGCCTGTTGGTCCAACTTATCCAGACTCTCCCCCCTATTCCCCCACATCACTTAACTAGCAGATTTTCCTGAATGTCACATCCTCCCAATTGCCATGAGGTCTCACTTCCCAAGATTTGACCCAATCCTCCCCTTCATGCCACCAGAAAACAACCGAGAATTGCACAACATATCATAATAGCAGTCTGACCGTAAATAACAACACCGGGCCACTATTATCAGTCACAATCACAATTCAACAATCACGGTTGGAGAACCACTACAATAATCAAAGAATCAGAGTCAACAACGCACCCAAATCCAAATAACCCACAACAAATTCAAAGACAACATAGGATACAACCATGAAAGTTGACACCCATACAAAGTGTCATCACAACATCACCACAGTCAACTGAACAGGGAATCTCAATACTCAAAGGCCACGACCTCAATATGATCATAACAATCTAAGATCATCAGCTCATTGCCTGAGATCGCCTAGAGTCTTTCTGATAGGTCCGAGGTGGGCAGTGTGGCCCAGCAGTGTCATATCTTTGCCACTAGCTACAAGTAACGTAGAATGACTCACATATTAATCCTAATTATTCTAAAGCCCTTTAATGTTAATGTATGCTTCTAATAATCCCAAAACACAGAATTTCATCTAAAAGTAATATATATATATATATATATATATATATATTCACAGTTCCCGTGTCATGTCCAACTAGACATGAATATTACCTACTAAATAAATGATTTGTGTACCAAAAGAAGTGAACACAACTTGCCTCCACAGAAACATAGCATATTGCTTTTTTCATGGTCAAGAATATGGAATTTAACATTTATATTGACTGCAAAACACCAAATTCAATAACTCAACTAACCATAAATTCATGAAATAAATTCACATATCGCCACAAGCTAAATGAGCATTTCGAATGAGCAAAAGGCAATCATCAGATGCCCAAACCCTACATTTCATGATACACTAAAAATTCGTAAATCAGCAAAAATTAGACAGCAAAAACAGAATGATGTAAATGCATACATTCAAACATTCTCTATAGAAATGAACACGGAATTTGAAAACTAGAGAACTAAACAGATGAAAAAAAAAGAAAACAGAAGTATGTGCACTTGTATGTATATATGTATATATATAGAGAGAGAGAGGGGGGGAGAGAGAGAGAGAGATGGTAATACCAGTGGCAAATGAAAGAGGAGAGTTCGATCTTTCCCATGGAGGCGTTCTCTTCCCGGTTAACGCCGTTCTGGAGCGCATGTGGCCGCCGATGGATGGTTGCAGCAGCGACGACGGCGTCAAGATGACCACGCATGAGAACCGTAACAGTTCATTTGCTTGGTTAGGGTTTTTCTCGAGAAAACACTCCAAAATTTTCCCACTGCCACTTTCTCGAAAACCAAACGCGTGTAAAGAAAAGTGCCCCTTGAAAATTGCGGTATTTCATTTCGCGATTTAAATATTTAATTCGATCCAGTGCACAACCAGTTTGAAAAAGGTGTCCAATTGTTCATTCATCAAACGCCACGTATGCCAACAATTACAACCGCAACCGAGAGGTAGCAATTGCAACCTCACCGATTTGTTACAATGGATTGCACTGATTTTAAAAATAAAAAAAAATTATGTTTGCATTTTATTTATTTTTATATTTTTTGAGCATTATTTAGTGGTCTAGTACTCCGTAGTTAGTAGACTGTCCGGCTCTCAAGTGAGTGTGCCAAGTTCGAGTCCCCACTCTTAATTTGTCAAAAGACTGTAAAATTGTTAATTAGTAATTCTAAACTTAATTATTTTCATATTTTTATTTTCGCAAAAAGACACACTTAATTTGCCCTTATTGAAACTTAAATTCTCAACTTTCTATTTGAAAAGGTAAGAAATAATATCACTAAACTATTACTCTTTATATACTATAGTAACTATACCCATCTTTCAAAAATTAAAGTGGAAAATGAAAGAAAATAATAGTGATTGTAAAGAGAATACATAATTAAAAAATGTTTTTATTGTTAACATTTTATTTATCAAAAAAAAAGAAGGGGTAAATAGAATGACAATAAATCACTAATTTCTTTAATAGTCTACTTATAGGAAGGTAGTCAAAATATTGTTGGGGTTACATGATATTTCTTCTTTTCATCTAAGGTTGACATATTGGTGTTGTATGAAAATAATTATATTTTGTTAAAATCGATAAACTCAAACATAACTCGTTTATTAAATAGGGCAGACATCTGACACAAATATGAGTTAATTATTGAATAAGTAACACTACATAACTCACGTGACATGTTTAATAAATAAGTCGTATTCCCTTAACATGAAACATTCCGTTTAACAGTTTATTTACTATTTTTTAATTATAAAATGCAAATAAATAAAAAGAATGATTTAGAAATTATGGAATGATTAAATTCTAATATAATCACAAACAACCATTAAAATAACCAAGAGATTCACCATAGTTTCATACGGATATAAATTTATAACCTAACAGGCAAGTTAAAAGATCAAAAAAATATATATTTTAATTGTCCTAATAAGATTAACTAAATAAGTCAAATCAAGTTAAACGGGTTAACAAAATTGATGCAACTATAATACGAGCACAATTAAGGTCAACCAAAACCTACTAACTTTGTGTTGGGTTCTAATTGTATTGACGAGTCGTGTCTAATTATATCACCCTTACTATCATCGTTTTAGAATTAAATATAATATAAAGTATCCCTTCTCATTTCCTTACATATCCTTCACTCCAAACTCTTTACTAGTCTTATTCTTAGAATTAACCTATAATTGAGTGCCTTGTTTACCTAACATTCCCTACAATGCCCTCGTAAAATTTTGTTGGATGAAATAATATAAATGAATGTACTATTGATAAAATAATACTTTTAGCGTGACATGTAAATAGGGTCTAAAGAACATTAAGTCACCACCTAACTTAAGTTTTGAGTACTTTTTTTTTTTTTTTAAGTTAAAACACTAAAGAACCATGAGCCTCTTTCTCTCCCGACTTCCCCTCTCTTCCCTTCCATCCCAAGCCTTCCACCATGATTTTACTAATTAGATCATGGATAGTTCTTCACCTACTATCTCCCCACCTGTCCAACCTTCCCCCAGCCTTGTCTATGACCAATCCAATGACCATAGTCAAGGCCCTTCCCACATTTTGGAGGCTGTAGTTAGCCTTAAAATGGATGGTTCAACCATTGCGGGTGGAATGGAACCACTGATACTTAATGACAGAAGGAACTTTGCTCTAGCCAAGCAAGTGATCTCCGAGGCCCTATCAAGATACCTTACTGATGCAAGGAAGGAACTTGAACAAGTTAGGGAGAAGATTGCTAATTTAGAGTCTTCACTGCTAAAGCTTCAAAAATCAAAGATGATTGTGGATGGGAATATGATTAATAAACAGCCCAAACAAGGACCTACTTAGCATGTTATTACCCAGAGGGGTAAAGGCAGATTCAGAGGAGGCTTTAATAGAGGCAGAGGAAGAGCCACAACTGGATACACCAGCTACCACCATGGTGAACTAAGTCACACGCCTAGTGAGGTTGGACATTACACAGGTCAAACAAAGTCCAAGGTTGTAACCAACCACTTTTTTTCTGATGTAACTGACTTACCTACCAATCAATACTTAACCCCATTTCACCAAAATGGTAAAGTCAAGTCTGCAAGTATTTTATTGAAAAGTGACAAGAGTATGATTTTAGAGTCTGGCCAAATAGCTTCTGGACAACCTAGTTGGGCTGAAATTACTGCTGAACCAAAAGACCACTCTCCCAAAATGGAATTTGAATTCATTCCACCTCCTCCATCCAATGGGAACCTTATCCTTGTCGAGCCTCCTAATGAAGTTGGAGGTTTGATTATGCATAGGTAATGTGTTAAGTATCTCACATGCTTCATATTTATGCATGGTTGTTAAGCCTAGTTTGCTATACTATAATAGAATAAGTGCCTCTTTGGATTGACTTTTCAAATGTTGCTTTTGATTTTTGGACTAAGAAGCTATTTTAGAAAGTGTTTTGGTAGTTTTTCAAAAGAGCTTCGAGTCTTAGAATAGAGATTTGGAGAAGCTAGTCCAAAACGCCCTTCTAAAATACACGGGGAAGCTAAATGGGTAATTTAATGAAACTTTTAAAATCCGAAGCCTACCATTGGATTTGCAGTAGTGAGAAAATAAGGGCAAAAATCTTTTATTTCTTCTTGTTTGGGGAAACTAAATTAAATAGGAAATTATTGAAATTCAAAGATAGGGTTCTTGTTTGAATTCCATTATAGATTTGACTTGTGTTGCTAAACTATTGTTCATGACCAATTCAATCAATTTGGGGTTTACTTCCAATAGTCTTTTTGTTAGTGCTTTTAAGAATTCTATTTAAGGGGGAAAAAGTTAAGTTTTTGATTTGTATGCTTTGTTGTCTTGATCTTTCCATGGGGTTATGATAATTGGCAGAAAAAGGTTTTCATACTATTGAATTATTCGTGAATTGTACCACTTTAACCGGCCTTTATGATAGAAGCACTAAAATGTGTTTGATATGTTTCATTAAACAAGATGATGATGTGGATTCTATCAGATAGTTTAAGAGTGAGACTAACTGAAGTGGTCTTAACTAAGACTATAACCAGTCACAATCAAGAATGCAGCGAACATGATTTTGAGATATGACCTAGAGGAGGATAAATAGGTCAGTTCTCAATTTTCGACTAGTTCTAACTTTAATATAAATTCACACAATTCCATTTCAATTGAATGCGAAAGATAATATATCAGAGATATAGTCACTCAAATATTGATTAATGAATTCATTTAACTTGTATTCAATATACAATGTAAAGTACTTGACCCTCAAGTAAACAAAACTAGATTTAATAATAATAAATAAATTATTAAATAAATTAATTAATTAATCTGATTTATTAAACAACCAAATAAATAATCAATCAATCTCTAATTGATTTTTGTCAACCTAACAGTGATACGTTATATCTGGTTAATTACTTTGAACACTTAAACTGTAACGACCCGGATTTCTCAACCCGGTGCATTAGTGATGAACCGGAATTTGACCCGATAACGGACCCGAAATGCAGAAGCGAAAGAAGCCAAATGACCTCAAGAGATGTACGTCATCCGTAAAGCCCCAAAATGACTCTTCATGAAGCCACGGAACTCAAATGAGTGAAGCAAATGAAGCAAGAATGCTGTAATACCCCGATATTGTAAAAAGGATTTATTAATTAAATTAATTTATATTATATTATTATTATTATTTTTAAGTGATTTGTTTTATTTAATTAGGTGCTTGATAGTTGTGATTTGTTTTATTTAATTAAGTGCGTAGGTAAATTGTATTGTTTTAATTAAATTATATATTTTGTAATTTTATTTGTTAAATTTATACGGTGTTTGATTTGTGGAATGCTAGTTAGTGAAGTGTTTATTTGATTTGCGTGATTTTATATTGGTGTAACTTTATTGTTAATTATTGGTAGCTATTAAATTTAATTTAATTATTTTAGGTATTTAAGTTATTTGTATTGGGATTAAAGGAAGTTGGACCAACGGATGTGATATTGGGCTTGAAGGAAGCCTTGTTGGGTTAATTGGTAAAGGCCCGTGGTTGTGAGGATATTTAATAATTATCTTTGCATAATTATACCTATATAATTACATGTGTATATTAATTCATTATTAAATCATGTGGAGGGGTATATATGTCAATATAATTATATATTGATATATATAGGTATATATAATTTATTTAACTAATGGTTATATATGGAAGGTAATATATATATGTTTATAGTAAAATATATGTATGTATTTATATTATTTAAAAGATAAATATTATTTATTTTATATGATAATCTTAATGGGAAAAAGATTTAGTTTTTGTATGTATATAAATAGACACATAAGACTTTAGGGTTAGGAGTTTTTCCACGTTAGAAAAATAAGAGAATTAGAGAGAGAAGAAGAAGGGCTAACGAAGAGGAGGCCGGATCAAAGAACGTAAGAGGAGACCGGATTTGGAAAAGAAAAGGCGAGTTCCTCTCTACTTCTCCTCTTAGAACTCATAAACTTATCACCTTGATTATCGAAATTATAATTTTATTTTATTAAATTAAATTATTATTCAGATTGGAGGAGCATATTTATTCTTTACAAAATTATAGAATTAAACATGTGAATATATGTATGCATTGTTCTGATAATTTAGATCTTGTAGGTGAGGTTAGGTTAATTAAATTTTATTTTTCTAAAATTTTTATATTTTGCGTTAACCTTGTGTAGCACGATTAATTAAATTAAATGGATTTTAATCTAATTGTATATGTTCATTTATGCCCAAAATAATAAATAGAGCTTTTGGGATTTTTCTGAGATTTTCTGAACAATTTCTGAAATTAATTTATATTTTTAA